CACTAACTCTTCCAAGCGCCTGACCAGGTGCTCCTCGTCCCAGCCGTGCTCCGGAGCTCCCTCGCGCAGCAGCACCGCCAGCAGCGCTGTCTTGAGCACGTATGAGGACAGGATGCGTCCCCACTGGGTGGCGGCCATCGGGTCCAGCCCACGGGCACCCAGGTCACGCAGGGCTTTAAGTAACTGCAGGCACTTGAGGTAGCAGGCACCCGGAGGGGCCCGTTCCTGCAGCCAGCCCAGCAGCTTCTGCTCTTGGCGCGCGGTGTTCACGCTCCACAGCGCATCTGCGCGCAGGCCGCCGGGGAGCTCCGACAGGGGCCCGACGGGTGAAGGTGGCGGTGGCGGTGCCACGAGGAAGACGCCGTCGCCTAAATGGACGGCGGGGATGAGACGCACGGCCATGGAAAGGCGGCAGCAGCCGTAATCGGTGCGGCAGGGCAGGATGTGTAGAGTGGGCGGCTGCTCGGCGCCGCCCGGGGTCAGGCTGACCCGACAGCGTCCCTCCAGGCTGTAGCGCACGGTGGCCAGGGAGCGCTGCAGGTGCGACTGGAACCAGCGCAGCACTAGGGTGGCCGAGAGGTGGCGCCGGCCGCGCACTTCCACGCAGAAGCCGTCCGCGAAGGGCTTGCAGTCCCGGAGCCAGTGGCTCCCAGAGGCCCCTGGAGGCGCCTTGAGTGCGCACACGAAGCTGCCGTGGAAGGCCGGGGACAGCGCGGGCTCGGAGCCCAGGCTCCGCGGCTCCAGCGCCACTAGCGGCGGCAGGCGCAGGGGCACCAGAACGTCGAAGCTGTCGGGCCGTCGGATTTTGTGCTGCTCGTAGGCGCTGCCCACCTGGATGAAGTCTCCGCGGAAGGCCAAGGCCAGCGCCCCCCCGGGGATGGGGCCTGGGGACCCGCGGGCGCGGCCAGCCCGCACCAGCTCGCCCACGATCCGGCTCACGTGTGCCTTGCTGTGGCCCAGCACGTGCGGCGACAGGCGCACCTCGTGCTCGTAGTAACTCTCCAGCAAGATGCCGAGGCTCGGCTCTCGGAAGTGTCTTGGCGAGAGGGTGGAGTGGCCCCCGAGGCGGGGAGACCCGGGCAGGAAGCGCTGCCGGACAGCGTGGCGACAGCGCAGGAGGATGTAGCCGAGGAGCAGCAGGACGCCCACCTTGAGCAGCGGGAAGCCGCCGTCCGCGCCCTCGGGGCCGTCGGGGGGCTCGGCCCGGGCGCCTCCGCTGCCCCGCAGGACATGGTAGAGACACACGAGGGCAGTGCACAGGCCGGTCACCACCGGCCAGAAGACGCGCAGGTTGAGGGTGTAGTGCACCGACATTCCGGGCGCCCGGGCGGCCCAGGGCGCGAGCCCCGGCGGCGCCACCAGCCCAGCATGCGCGCAGCGCGCCGGCAGCCCCGCTGTCCCCGTCTCCTTCGCCTCGGCGGCGGCTCCCCGGTCGCAGGGGCGGAGGAAGCCGCCCTCCAGCTCGGCCTCCTCTCTCAGCTCAAGTTGTCCTTCCAGCCGAGGCCGCCCTGCGCTCCGCGGCTCGGGGCCGCGTTCGGCCCAGCGGCCCTCTCCGCCCCGCTGCCCGCGGCCAGCTTCTGGCCCAACCGGGCTCGCCCCCTACCCTGGGCGGCCCTTGCCGCCGGGCTCCCCCGCCCCTCCCCTCCGCGCTCGTTCCCGTTACTCCGGCCCGGGAGTTTCCTCTTCCGAGGGGAGGCGAGGCCGCCCAGCTGGCGGGAAGGAAATGCCGAAGTCTGGAGCTGCGCGCCGAGCTGGCGGGAGGGGTTGGCCCCCTCCTAGGCCTCCGCCTCAAAGCGACGGGGGCGGTGGGCAGGGACTTCAGGACACGCTTGGAACTGGCCTGCCGCGGGCCACCCTCATCCTCCCTCCCCGCAGGCAGAACTGGGAAGGCCCGGATTCCGGGGCGGTGGCCTTGCCCGGGGAGCTTCGGGAGCTGGACTCGCAGAAAGTTACACTGGGAAGTTGAAAGGAGGAGAAAGAGCTCGCACCGAGACACTCCCTCCCCGCCTCTCCCCTCCCCTCCCCTCCCCCTCCCGCGAGGCGCGGCGTCGGTGGCGTAGCAGGCCCTGCGGTGCGCCAATGTCTTTTATTCAAAACGATAATTACCGCACACCTACTGTGTGCCAAGCAGGAGGCTAGGTGCTGGGGGAATAGTTCACGAAACAGACGTTTCTGCCCTTCCTAAAGATTGCAAACTTAAAAAAAAAACAAAAACAAAAACAAAAGAAAAGGGATCCCATAGCAGAAAATGCTTTGAATGAAACAGCCGTATGGGGGAGTGGGAAGGTGCCCGGTGCTCTGTGGAAGCTGGAGCTTCTCTGTGGGGTGCCCCCTGGTCTGAGATCTGAAGGCGGAGGAGCCAGCCTTGGGACTATGACAACAGCCTTTACCAAAGATGTGCTGTGTGCTGATCACCTTAAATCCTCACTCTCACGTTAACCCTGTGACAGGGACATTACTATTTTCCCCATTTTTCAGATAAATGGGCACAGGTAGGTTCAGTGGCTTGCCAAAGGTCACACAGCTTTAGCAGGGCTGTGCCTTGAACACAGGCACCTGGCTCCAGAGAAGCCAAGAGTGAAGACTCAAGGAGGGGACCAGGGATTCCTTTCCTCAACTGCTGGGGTGAGTCTGTGTCCTTTTGCATAAGCTACACTGGGACCTCGGTCCGAGGAAGCTTTGTTTTGTGGCATAACTAGGGAGCACTCCCTGAAATAATCTGGATTTAAATAATTGTCTGTATTTATTTACACTCACCACACGTTCCGTGCTCCCACCATCAATTAAGGAGACCCAGGGTGGTGCAATAAAAATGTCCAGAACCCCGCTGCCCCCTGGGAATCAGGACTGAGGATGGGTCGTGGGTTAAGCACCGAGAATACTCTCAGGAAATCCTGGGTCGAGCCTCTTGGGGCTAAGCAGACCTGCTTTCAGATCCCATGTCCACTACTATAAGCTAAGAGACCGCAGTCTATCCGTCAGGATCCTCAGGGTCGCAAGTGACAGAAACGTGGCTCGAAGACTTGGTTGCATCTATTCACTGGGACAGATGTGCAGGGGATCCCGCTTCGGCATGGCTGCATCGTTACTCTCCATCCACTTACCAGCTGGGCTTTCTTCCGAGCTGGCTGCACTCTGCCAGGCCCTCTCCATGCGCCCCGGCTGCTCTAGCCTCGCAGTATCCTTAGTGCAGAGGGAGAGAGAACTTTGCTTGCCTGAAAGGTGCAGCGAATGCCATGCCTGGGGACTGGTCATATGCCAAGCGACCACGTGAGAGAATGCACTGATTAGCTGGGCCTGGGGTGGTGCTCTGGGCTCAACTGTGTCCCCTCAAAATTTATATGTTGAAACTCCAACCCCCAATGTGACAGTATTTGGAAACAGGGCCTGTAGGAGAGAATTAAGGTTAAATGAGGTCATGAGGATGAGCCCTAATCCAACAGGACTGGTGTCTTCATAAGAAAAGGAAGAGAGATTTCTCCTTGAGCACACACCAAGGAAAGGCCTTGTGAAGACAGAGAGAAGGTGACCATCCGTAGGTCAGGAGGAGAGCCCTCACTGGACCCGGCCAGACTTTGATAGTGGACTTCCGGCCCCCAGAACTGCGAGAAAATCAATTTCTGCTGTTTAAGCCACCCGTCTGTGGTATTATATAGGTAGCCCCAACTGATTAAGACAGTTGGTACCAACTCTGGAGCCAGGAGGCAGGCCCTGTCCAAACCATGGGGCCCATGGGAGGGGTATCCCTCAAGCAAAGTCCAGGAGCTGTGCTGGAAAAGGGGGAGGGGATGTTTTGGCATGTGAAAACAGGTGGTACCACATTTGGATAAGTCCCTTAACCTCACTTGAATCTCCCCAGCTACAGAATGGGGGTAATACTAACGGGGTGACCTCCTTCCCTAGCAGGTATGGTGGCATGCTAACATCAACCACTCAATGCTCAGAGATCAGCAAACATTGCTCGGTAAATATCTCAGGCTTGTGGGCCATATAATTTCCGCTACAACCACGCGGGTTGTCCGCTATAGTCCAGAGCAGCTGTATTCATTTTCTGGGGATGCTATGACAAATTGCCACAAACTGGTGCCTTAGAACAACAGGAATTTATTCTCTCACAGTTCTGAGGGCAGCGGGGCTGTGCTCCCTCTGAAGGCTTTAGGGAGAATCCTTCTTGCCTCGTCCAGCTTCCAGTGACTCCAGGCGTTCCATGGCTTGTGGCTGCATCACCCTCATCTCTGCCTGCATCGCCACATGGCCTTCTTCTCTGTGACTGTATCTTCTCCTTTCCTGTGTGTCTCATAAGGACACCTGTCATTGGAGTCAGGGCCCACCTGGGTAATTCCCAATTATCTCGTCTAGAGACCCTTAGTTATGTCTGCAAAGACCCTTTCTCCAAGTAAGGTCACAGTCACAGGTTCCAAGGGTTAGGACGTGGACAGATCTCTTTTGGGGGGTCTACTGGAAAAATCTGTTTTCCCTCCTGTGTCTCCTTTACTACTTACACGAAACTCTTCACTTCTGACCCTCTAGTCACCAGACGTGTGAAGGTTTTTCCCCCACGACAAGCAATTCTGTGACACTAGCTGCATGTTCTACAATTTAACTCAATTTTGACACTACCCGCTGCCCACATAGATGCCAATTGCCACAGAGGAGGTCTCCAGGTTCCCCACAACTTCTGTCTGACTTGGCTAAAATTTGGAGGTTCCCATGACACCCCTCTCGGATTCGATTTACTTGCTAGAGCAGCTCGCAGAACTCGGAAACACTCGTGTTTACCAGTCTACTGAAGGACGTGATAAAGGATTGACAGCTGGATGGAGAGACACAGAGAGTGAGGTCTGGGAGGGTCCCGAGTACAGAAGCTTCTGTCCCCGCAGAGTTGGGTGCATCACCATTTTGGTGTGTGGATGTGTCACCCACCTGGAAGCATTCTGAAGCCCTACTATTGGGATTTTTATGGAGGCTTTTTTCACGCAGGTATGATCACTTACTAACTCCGTTTTCCTCTGGAGAAGTGTGGGGAGGCAGAGCTCAAAGTCCTAAACTTCTAATGATGGCTCGGTCTTTCTGGTGACCAGCCTGCATCCAGGAGCCCACCGAGTCACCTCCTTAGGACAAAAGATGGGCCTAGTGTTATCACTTGGGCGATTACAAGGGTTTCAGGAGCTCTGTGCCAGGAACTGGGGGCAGAGACCGATCTATGTATTTTCTGTTATCTCAGAGAAGCCATGATTCAGTACACTGAGTAAACGATGTATTGCTGTTTCTGTTTTTTCCTGCCTGTAATCGGTTTCCATAGCTCAGTTCCTCCAAAGAGTTCAAGGTACAGGCCTCAGAACTTGGCACTTGAAAAATCTACTCTATGTGTCAGGGCAAATACAAACTCATGTATTCATTAATTTATGACCCACCTTTGTGGGTCCTTACCATGTGCCAGGCAGAGGGGAATGTGCGTGCAAACACGGCACCCCGAGCTGATGGATTTAAGCGCCGCACGGTGTGGGTGGATGCAGAAAACAGCCACTGTCTTGTAGACTTCTGATAATTACTTCATTAAAAATCTCCTTTAATGTTTAATATTTGACAAAGGCCACTGCCGGTGCTGAAACACATACGTACACACAGCCTGCCCACATTTCTGATATCCCAGAGGAGTGTCTTATGGAGGAACGGCAGGCTGAGGAGAGGAAGAGAGAGGAGGTGACTCATTTCCCGCAGGAGGCCCGGGGACGGCTCACGGGAGGGGACACGTGAGCAGGCTCTGAAAGATGGGCAAAGACGGGACTTCGTACCATGGCCATCACGTGCCTCCTGGACGCGGCCCTTCCTGTGTATCTCCTGAAAAGCTCGGGACAAACCCAGGGAGGTCAGTGCCATTATCAATGTCACTTCGCACGTGGAGAAAGTGAGACTGAGAGAGGGCACTAACTCATTCACAGTCACTCAGTGGCAAGACTGACTCCAGAGCTGGGCCCCTAACTGCCACGTTCACTCTTTCACCTCGTTATGAGGCGTCAAAGCATAGGAAGGCAGGTTAGTGTATGTTCGTATCTGTCTCCGCGACCAGGTGATGAGGTTCTCGGGAGCAGGGACTTGGCCATAATCATCTTGGTATCGACAGCACCCAGTCCCATGACTGGAACTTTACAGGGGTTTGTTGAATGAATGAAAGAACGAGTGAATGAATGAAAGTTCCACTTTTGCCAGGAGAAATTCAGGGAGGCCATTCCAGGTAATGGAGACAAATGTGTGAAGGCACAGAGGTCCGAGTATGTGACAGTTGAGGGGAACGAGACGTGGGTCCTGTTGCAGAAGTCTGGAGATTCTGAGTGGTCACTGGGGCATTCGCCGGCCATCTATTCCAGCCTCTTCCAGTAAGGCTTCCTCTGCAGCGGGGGCTGGACAGCAGAACACAGTTGCGCATTCCCTGGCAGGAGCTGCCCAAGATACCTGCTTTGCCAGGGCAGCTGGTGGCAGAGGTAGTGCTTCTGAAACCCCCGCTGGGCCCTGACTCTGCAGGCTGCTCACTGGGTGGGCAGAGGCAGTCGCTCCCTGGGTGGCCCAGTCTGCCTTTCTGGAAGTTCTGTTCAGTCCTTTCCTGCAGCTTTCCCGCAGCTTCTCAAACTATCTGAATCAATGACCTGTTGCTGTCTCTTAAAAATTTCCTGGTGGTTCTACTATGCACGACTATTACAAAGCACATGGCACCGGCCACTCAGAAAACCCACACGGGTCTAGCCTCTACTCAGAGAGACCATGAACCACACTTTTGTAGATGTCACACAATATTAAATTGACACAGATGTCGCTAAATACTTAATCTGAAGTGACTGGAGCAGGGCAGCCAGTAACAAGGGGGCCTGACACACAGCTTTGCCAACAATGCCGCCCAATACTTGATGGTGACCAAGTTACCCAAACCTATCTAAGCAAGAGCGGGGGCACAGGGGAAGTGAAACGCGGAAGGAAGGAGGGTGCGCAGTGCGGTGCCTTACTGAGCTGGCCACAGCTCTGCAGCAAACAGCTGGCGCTCCAGTCTGAATGGGACACAGAAGCCCCGAGGAGGCAGAGGCAAGGAAGAGGCAAAAGCCTTGAGGAAAGAGAAACCATGGCACGCCAGGGGAGGGTAGGAAGTGAGGGTTGTGAGCAGCTGATCCAGAAATGGTGGGTGGCAGAGCTGATGTTGGGGTGCAAGGGCTGCTGTGTGCCTGGATGACATGCCAGGTCTGCCCGTCCAAGGGAGCAGCTGCTGCCCCTGCTCCCGGTGAAAAAAACTGAACTCAGGCGGCGGCGTGAGGCGGGGAGGCACTGTAGCCTGGTTCCCTAGAAAACAGAATCTGCGGGGATGGCGTGCATGTGAAGTGCTCTGGCGGTGCAAGGCCGGCGACGCCGCAGCGAGGGCAGAGGGGAAGGAGGAGGGCGCACACACCGCGGTGCATCACTGAGCTGGCCACAGCCCTGTGGCGGACACGGCTGGCTCCCCAGTGGATGGTTCCGTCCCATCTCCTGCCTCTCGTGTGCTAATGTGTGCCCGCCGAGCATTAACTGCCCGCACTTCCTGGCTATGTCATCAGGCTGATGATGGAGAAGCCAGTCTCTGCAGGTCTAGCTTGGTCTGTGCACACGCTGACAGTCTCTCCCTCTCAGCTGGTTCCATGAGAAGGAAGTCCTTGGTTGTGGGTGGCAGTGATGGCACCCGGCTCTTTCCAATTGTGAAAATGGAGTGTGTTATCGTTAGGGCTGCTCTGGGCAAGAAGCAAGGCAAAAAGCACCGGCCTAGGTGTGCAGACAGGGCCAGATGGGTCTGGGGCGGCTCATAAACCGGGTCTAGTACAGAAACCCCCCTGGGGGAGGTGTCTGCTAAATGATTCTGGAGGATGAATTGCCAGACTAAGGAGACAGAAAAGGGCAAACACTACAGAAGTCCCTTCGCGCATGGAATCCTGGACAAATGAAAGAGCATGGCTTTCGGTAGGTCTGAACTTTGGTCTCTCTGATGGGGAAGAGGTTGAGAGATGAGACTGGGGATCTGGTCCCAACCTTGTATACCATACCGTTTGGTTAGGATGCTCCTGGTTACTAGTAGCAGAAGACCCCAACTCAGCTGATTTAAACAGCAAGGACGCGTTATAACCTCACAAATGGGAAGTCGTGGCTCCAGGCTTCCTTGATTCAATGGCTCAACCCCGCCATCGGGCTCCTTTGATCTTCCTGCTCTACCATCTAGAGACTAGCTCTCCTCCTGGTTACGAGATGGCTGCCACGGTTCCAAGCATCACATCCAGGCACAGAAGATAGACCTAGCACCATGCTTGGAACTTTATATATACAGTGGTGGCTGTGTCCCATGGATCTCTGTTTTAGAATAAGGAAATATTTCGCAGAAATCCCCTAGCAGAACTTCCTGCAGATTTCATGGCCTAGAACTGCATTACGTCCAGGCCCAAAGAGTCATGGTGTCAGGAACCCAGGCTCCTTCCACCTCCTTGCTCCACCACGCCTACATACGGCCCCGACATTTACAGTGCAACATGACATTCTCGCAAAAAAGAGTAAAAGGACAAAGGATGGGCATGTCACGGAGCCACACATTCCAGGTCTGCACATTCCACTGGCCAGAACGTAGCCGCATGGTGTGATATTTAATACAATATATTTGGTCTTTGTCCCCATTTCTGGCACAGAGCTCCTAAAACCCTTGGGTTTTCCTAAATGACGAGAGGAGCAAGGTCTCTCGTTATGTCAACGAGGTAACGTTTCTTCCATCGGCATCTAAGGATCAGGGCTGGTTGCCAGGATAACCGATCATTAGCAGGTTAGAATGTTCAGTCCCACCCCACAACCTCCACGGTGGGGAGAGGGGGCTGGAGGTCGAATCAATCACCAAACAGCCAATTATTTAATCAGTCACGCCTATGTAATGAAGCCTCCATAAAAACTCAAAAGGACAGGATGCGGAGAGCTTATGGCTGGTGAACACGCGGAGCTGTGGGGAGGGCGGTGTGCTTGGAGTGGGCATGGACACTCCAAGCCCCTTCCCCACCCCTCGCCCTATGCTTCCCTTCCGTCTGGCTGTTTCTGAGTTACATCGTTTCATGATTAACTGGTGATCTAGTAAGTAAAACGTTTCTCTGAGTTCTGTGAGCCTCTCTAACAAGTTAATCGAACCCAAAGAGGGAGTTCACTGGAATCCTGATCTATAGCTGGTTGGTCAGATGGAAGGTGACAGCCTGGACTTGCAATCGGCATCTGAAAGAGTAGAAGGTCAAAGCAAGGGCACGACGTGGAACTGAGCTGAATTGGAGGACACCTAGCCGGTGTCCAAGAATCACTTGGTGGTACGGGAAAATGCCCTTCTACGTAGTGGAACTGGTCCCGGGAATGTGCATGGCTACGTGTAATAATAGCAAGGGAGGCTGGGAAATATAATCATTATCCTAGACAGTACGTATCCTGCTAAAAATAAGGGTTTTATTACGACGGGAGAAAAAGAGAATAACTATCAGGGGACGATCATCAGTCTTTGCTGTAGCAGGCAACCAACAGTATCTGCTCCACAGGCTGCGGTTGGATCAGATCTATCCTAATTGTGATTCATTATTCGTGTACTTATTAATTAAATGTATTTCTAAATATACTGTAAGCTTTTTGTTCTTGTGAACAGGGACCGTATCTATCCTGTACACACTCGATTACTAATTGCTGAATGACCGAATGAATGAAATAATGAATGAATAAATAAATCTTATTGCCGAAATCCAGCAAAATGGCCCTATGTTGATAAAGAGCTTTTCACTAGAGAATGTTCTACCCTGGTCTCCATTTTCAAAGCCACTGTTTATATGAGAGTCATGAATAATGAAACCAGCATCAGTCACAGGCAAGCTCTGGTCTGGCAGAGATGAAGGGCGAAGAGAGCTAATGAGTCTGTAATGCAGTTTCGTGCCAATAAAACGGAGCGATATTAAATTCAAGGCCGTGAGATTTACACTATAAACCCAACACAACCAGAAAGAGCCCGACTCCCTACCTGCTCCAGCTCTTCCAGTCTGAGTCATTTTATGGACACAGACTTCTCACTGACATTGTCTAGAGATGTCATGGTGAGAATTCTGACAGCCATTTAATTTCTGACTGGAGGACCAACAGGGCCAGAAGAGACTCAGAACTGAATGGAGCATAAAACCCGAGTTCAGGGAGCCGCTGTGTGCGACGTTAACGAATCCGATACGGGGCCCCGCATCTCCGTCCCCTGCTGTCAGTATGGAGACAGAGCCCTGTGTCCTGAGTGTTTATCCGTGCCCCGCGCAATGCTCGACTTGAGCACGTCACGGGACTTCACGCATTCAGCCCTTGCCTCACAGAACCACCTTATGAGGTAGGTTTATTTTTATCTCCGTTTTGTAGATGGGGAAACTGAGGCATAGGCACTTTGTCCCAGGTCACGGAGCAAGAAAGTAGCAGAGCTGGGATCTGAACCCGCACCTCCCATGCTGATAACTTTAACCACCCCACACACCGCCCTGAGGCAGTTGGTTCCGAAAGGGCACTGGATGATGTTTTCCAGGGTCCGGGGAAAAAAAGATCAAATTAAGACATATGAAGGGAATGTTTCATAACGCCCCATTTACAGCTGAGCCTCCTCTTACAGTGTAAGGACATTTCAAAGTCAGCACGTAGCAGAAGAAAAATGTTCTTGGTTCTAATGGCCCTCAGTATGTCGGCTCAGGGGTCTGGATTACACATCAGTCAAAGCTAACTGAGCAGTCCGCTTCTGATTGACGCGTTTCACTGCATCTAAATTTTCTCTCGAAAAATCATATACGCATGTTGGATTCCAGTGAGCGGTATGCATACGGAGGTGTTTCGGGGTGCAGTATATGTACTGGCCTCAGCAATTGCCTTTAAAATATATCGGAAAGCGAGATGGATTGATGAGGGCAGAGAGGGATGGAGAAATGGAAGACGATGCAGCCGGCGAAGTGACGGTGGCATCTCAGTGGTGGGTATGTGGGTTTCTCTGTAAAATTCAGATTTCTCGGCTTGTTTGAAAAAATGTTTTTAATATGATGTTGAGAGAAAAAAACACATTTGGAAATCTGTCACGAACCTGCTATTTTAGAAACTGATACTCTTGTCTCTCATTGGCTATCGCAGTCAGACTTTTCTCATCGAAACCAAAGTTTCAACAGTGGAGCACCCAGGGAAGGCACTGGGTTGAGTGCATGGACGAAGCTGTGTGAGTAACAGTGGCTGAGTGACATGGACGACGGGAGACAACAGCAAGATCGGCCCTGTAAGTACAGCGATTTAAGTAAAGAGGTTGCCCGCACTATTTAAAGTGCTCTCCCACACCCCAAAGCGTGTTTGTTTATGTAGCCGAATCTCAACCACTTAAATTTGCATATGATATGGTTCTAATATGGTTAGCTCTGTCCTTTAAGAGTATGCTCTTCCATTCCATTGGATGTTGAAATAACTATTTTCTTCAGAGGAGAAACTGACGTTAATGATAATCATGGACGGTGGCTTTCTCTCCTCCAGCCCTACCTTAGCAAAGTGAAAAGCTAGCAGTCCTAGGTCAGTCTTCCAAATCACTTCGTCTGCCACTCGCATGTGGACAAGGCTTTGTCTGCTTTGCGCCTTGTGATCTCCCCAGTGTCTGGCACCAGAGTCACTCTATAAATATCTGTTGAAGTCGTTTTACTGGCCCGTAAAATCTAAAGGGCTGGAGGGAACAAAAGCCTGTGAGATGCACTGACCCTGTGGTCTGACAGACAGACAGGCTTGCAGCAGGGCCAAGCCCCACAGAGACGTCCTGTGATCATCTGTCTAAGGACGCAGCAGTCAAGGTGTTCCAACCAGCGAGGACAGAACCGTGTCCTGGCAGGGTCCCTCAGTGCAACGCATGCTCTGCACATTTCACTTAGGACGTCTTTCTCCCAAGGAGGGGAAGTATTGCTCTTTCATGCGCCTCAAAAGCCCACGAGATCCTTGTGTTTTCACACCCAAAAAAGGACCACTTGGGATTTGCATTTCTCTGGTACAGAAAGAAGAAAATAGACTCATCAAGGAAGCACAGCAGAGACGAACCCCAGAACCCCCGCTGGGAAGCGTATTCCCCGCACTCTGGGTTGGCACAATAGGAAATTCTGCTACCTCCTCGCCAGACCTGGCTTCTTGGCACCTGGGTGCGTCCCTCAACCCACAGTGGTCCACATTTCTGAGCCCCTGCTACGCATCAAGCACTGTTTTCCAAACGTGTTATCACTAATGCTCACGGCCACCTGTGACGGCGGGTATTAATGTCATCTCCCAGTTTACAGATGAGGAAACTGAAATTCAGAGGGGTGACAAAGCTTGTCCAAAGCCATCCGGCCAGGAGCGGCGAGAACCAACAGTGAAAGTCAATTGCACCCAACTGACGCCTTGCCACCACACCGTGACAAGTCTCTGAATTTAACGTCAAAGCAGCAGTGCTGTTCTTGGGCTTCGCTGTCAATGAGGACCAGAACCGAGGCCATCGATGCAAGCTCCCACAGACAGCGGTCTGGTAAGAACGTTCTCGTGGGTTTCTCTTATTTCTGCTTCCTTGGCATCCATCCTCTCTTCTGGTGATAATATCCTGATTTTTCTTCGGAACCCTCTGCCAGCTCTCAGTTTGATTAGGGTGGCACTGGCCACAACCCCCAACTCCAGGAGCAGACACATGACCTAGGCCTGTCCGTTGAAAGTACAGCATTCCCCTGCTCGCTATGTGATTCCGAGTGAGAAGGTGACCCAAGTTGATCCATAAGTATCAATTAGCTTTTGCTACATAACAAATATCCCAAACCTTAAAGGCTTAAATAACAAACATTTGTTATTTTTCACAATTCCGTGGGTTGTGGTAGGGTGGTTCTGCTCTAGGCCAACTCAGTTGATCTCTGTGGTCTCTCGGTGACTTGCGCAGAGCTGCATGTCTAGGATGGCCTACTCAGTGTCTGGTGGTTCGCAGGCTGCTTTGTCTAAGGACAGCCAGAACTGCATGTTTATGCTCCACGTAACTTCTCAGCCTCCAGTGGGCTATTCCAGGCTTGCTTCTGTGGCAGCAGCATTCAATGAAATCCAGAGCAAAGACTGAAAAGCAGATTGAGCCTTAGGCTTGGAACTCACACACTGTCACCTTTACCATTCCACTGGTCAACACGACTTACAAATCCAGTCCAGAACTAGGGAATGGAGTAATAAATTCCACCTCTTAGTAGAAGGAGCTATAAAAAATTGAGGCCATTTGCAATTTATTCCAGCGTCGACCTTGAGACTTTCGCTGGACAATTTAGAAAGAGAAGCCCTTTCTCCATCAGAGCTGCTGGTCCATTGGGCTGCAAGCCTGGAGATGCTGGCAGGCACCTTGCTACCACTGGAGAAAGGCTTGCTGGAGAGGGAAGGACCACAGAGACTAGAGACAGAAAGTGCTGATGGCTTCATCTGAGCTGCTGGATCCAGCCAGGCCTGGAGCTAAGACTGTATTTAGGTTGGTTTGAGTCTCTCCTCTAAGGGAAGTGGGAGAAAGGAGGGTTTCCTTCCTTCTGAATGCCTTGCTCAGATTCCCAAAGCCCGCCTCTGAAATGGTGGCAACAGCTGTCCTCCAAAATTGGATGCTGTCTCAGCCCCTTTGGGGGTAACAGAATGCCGTAGGTTAGGCGGCTTATGAACAACAAAAATTTATTTCTCACAGTTCTGGAGACTGGAAGGTGCATGATCGAGACGCCAGCAGGTTCAGAGTCCGGTGAGAGTCCGCCTCCTAGCTCACCGACAGCTGCTTCCAGCTGTGTCCTCACATGGCAGAAGGGGCGAGGGAGCTCTCTGGGGTCCCTTTTACAAGGGCTCCCGCCCTGTCCGTGAGGGCTCCACCCTCGTGACCTCGTCCCCAAGCGCCCCGCCTCCTCACTCCATCACACCGAGGGGCGGGATCAAACGTGGGAACCGTGGGAAGGACACGGCTCGGTCCGCGGCCGAGTCCGGGCGAAAGAAGGCAGCCCTGGTGTATTTCACGTGAGTGTTTGCTTTGACTTCAACAGAAATGGGGTAAGGCTGCAGAGATTTTCAGAAAAGATGCCACGAAATGTGGTAACATGCTAATTTCATGAGGAACAGGTCTGCTGGAACCCTCTGACCTGCAAAAGGCGCCTGGTTTTGAATACTGGTCACTTGTGTAGTGGTATCTAAATCTCTTCATGGGCATCCGAATCTCTATATAGTTTTCCCGTTAGAGTCAAAAAGAGAAGCCCCATCCCAAAACCAAACCCCGAAATGTTCACAATTTGGCTATTTGTACTTCTAAGACCGTTCAGAAACAAACACTTGGAAATGAAAGCGGAACACATGGAAACGGATGGAAATTGTCACACGGCAGAAAGAGGCGGCAGCACGAAATGGAGACGGGGAGGAGAGAGAGAGGACAGGAGGGTCACGCTGGAAACTGCCCCTCTACCACGGAGTCTGTCAAGCACACGCCCCTCGGCGAGTTTAAGACGGACACTGGAAATACGCCCCTGTCCCCTCACTGTCCCAGTCCCTGCTGGGTGCAACTAGCATTTAAAGACGCTATTTCTCTTCCACATGGTCCCAAGAAACAACTACTTATAAAGCTCGACCAGAGAAACTGAGTGATGGGTTCCAGCCCTGGAAAAAAATCAACAAGGAGTATGGAGCGTCTGGGAGACAGCACAATGCTGTTATTGTCTGGGAAGTTTAAGAAATGATTTCGAGGATATCTTCGACAGTGCGTGCCTTTCACCGTCCTTGCTGACTCGGGAACCTCCCCCATCCCATCCCCATACTGGAAGGGATGAGAGAGCACGAACAAGTCGCTCCCTTTCTCTGAAAGCTATAGCAACTGTCATCCTTTGGATTGTCTCTGTCAACTGCTGCTTCCAAGACTCTGACTGGAGGGTGTGACACGCTTCGTCCAAACCGCCCGAGCCCATCACTGAAGTAGGTGTGATTGCCACGTTCTCGGGAGCCTGCGGACTTGGGCTCCGAAGCTCTCGAGCACTGGCCCCAGCCTGCCGGGGCTGGAGGGCTGGCGTGAAAGGGTGCCCATCCGCTGACGGCCACGCTGCCAGGTTCCGCCTGGCCACATCGGGCTGCCTGGAGCCTGAGCAGGATCTTATTTGTGGCCCGGTGCTCTGGCCGTCGGCCTGACAAAATGCTGAGGCGCCTTTGTGCGCCCTTCACTTGAACACAGAAGCCCTTCGCCTTCCCTCCTTTGTTAAAGCCACACTGTGAAGAAAGGAGTGAAATCAGCTCTTTTTACAGCCCTCTCCAAAGGTCAGGCTTTCTTCCGTGGCTGGAAGTGGCCCGTGACACGGTGTGCACATCAAAGGGATGGATTATCAGCCCTGCCTTCACCCCAGGGCTGTGCGCGGCACATAATCTACCTCCCTTTCTTCTGCAAAGTCACCTGGGGCTTGATTTGATGTATTTCATTTCCGACCCTGTGTGAGGGACCCCCCCCACCCCCCGCCAGCTGAACAAGACCTGCTGTAGATGTTTCTCATCCCTCAGCTCAAGCGCAACACCGTGCACACATACGTTCACTGGTTTTGGAAGCTACGTTTTAATATCTAAAGCAATCTACCTGGATTTGCGAGAAATTTACATTGGTTAAAGGGCTACAGGAAAGGCTCCACGGTAGGAAAAGGAGAATAAAATCAGTAAGAAAATCGTAATCAAGACTACACTTACTAAGAGTTTACTATAAATGCTAAGCTCTTTTTATCTTGCGTTCCTTAATTCTTACAATCTCTATGAAGCAAGTTATGTTTTTCAGCCCACTTTAAAGATGAGAGTAAGCCCAGAGCGGGTAGTCAGCTAATGTTTCCTATAACACCCAGTAAACAAATATTTTAGGTTTTGCAGGCCATAGGCATTCTGTTCCAAGTTTTCGAGTCTGCCAAAACAGCCACAGGCATGTAAAGGAAAGGTATGGTTGCGTGCCAATAAAACTTTATAACAACGGCTGGATTTGGCTCCAGGACCAGCTTGCTGACCCCTGATCTAGAGATGTAAAATCTAGATCAAGTTCATCAGGCTCGTGGTTTAGCTGGGATTTGAGCTACACTTATATACGCTGTTCTGCATCTTGGTTTACCCCCACTACAGTAAATCTTGGAAATTTTGCATATTACAAAAAGCAGAGCCATTTCATTCTTCATAATGGCTGCAGAGTAACCCCAGGATGGCTCAATGGTAAGTTTTTAACTGGTCCCCTCCTGGTAGGTACTGAGGTCGGTTACAATCTTTTGCTATCATAAATAATGCTGCAGCAAATATCCTTGTATACATGTTATTTTGCACGTGTTGAACTTTATCTTCGGACTGGCTGCTGGAGCTCCAGCCATCATATCCACATCCCAGGCTGGATGCAACACTTGGGGGAAGGCAAAAAGAGCCAGTTCCAGCTGCCTGCTCCATTCCTGAGAAGCTTTCCTGGGAGTCCCACTGAAGAACTTCTGATTATATACCACTGACCCAGATAGTCAGTCCCGTGGACACACCCAGCTGCAATGTGGAGAAAGATAACACTGCCTTCATGGAGCCCAGTTTGGAGGCTGTGACATCAAGTAAGAGATGATGGTGGCCAAGACTTGAGAAGTGATGATGGGTTTGAACTTTTGAAAACTTCCAGATAATCTCCAGCTTTGCTCAGGGCTTTGCTTAGGAATCACTATCAAGCCAGCAGCTCCTTTAGAAAGTGACTTATTCCTTCCTTCATCTTTGTTCAGCCAGAATAAGAAGAAGGAAATGAGGAAGGGGGAGGAACGGCTTCCCGCTGTTGGGCTCCTTCCGTGGAGAATGGACAACCACCCCCATGCCCACCTTGCCCGAGACAACTGGACAGTCCGAGCACCGGCCTGGACCCCCGTGGACTGCACGCCCCAGAGAATTCCAAAGACGTGAGCCTGGTCCAAGCTGTCCTTCCTCGCCGTGGCTTTCTGAAGGTTCCTCCCCTCAGACAGGGATAAAGTATGAAGTATAAAGTGACCATCGGGAGGCCGGCCTCAGCCTTAGCTGTCGCCCAGGGAGGGTGTCTTTTTCTCCCTATATGGAGATGCCCTTTCTCCTCCTCCCATCTTCCCTCTACTGTAGGCCTTGTTTTGACTATGGCATTTTACAGAAAAGTTGCAGATAATTTTTTTCCGGCCCTACGTCTTCCCCCTAACAAACGCTTAACATCGTTAGCAGCACGCTTCCTTCTGCGTCAGGTCACATGGAAACGGGAATGCTGTGCCCACACGCTCCCATCAATACCACTGACTTTCTATTTCCTAATTTCACACACAAAAACTCTTCAAACAGCTCAAGTAGATCCGTGGTCCTCCTGAACCCTAAGTGAAGTCGCTGCAAAGTGCTGTGGCTCCAGAAGGATGGGGGTGGTGACTCCGAGAAAGTCCTCTCTGCCCGCCAAGGCAAAGGATTTGAGGAGGTAAAACGACAGATCTTAAGATTGATTCGATGTGGAGGGTGAGAATGAAGAACGAGTCAGAAGGATGAATTCTGGCCTCTAGTTTACACAGCTGGGTAGATCTTTAAGCTCCAGTGGCTGGCACTTTATCTGGCACAGGGCAGATGCTTAATAAATGTTTGTGAATGAAAAAAAAACAAAAAAACCCATTTTTCCAAAATCAGTCACTTCTCTTGATATGATTTCCTTATTTCTGTCCTAACTTTGATTGTTTTCCTAGTTATTCAGCCTGAAGCTCACCACTGACTCATCTTTCTTTCAGGTCCTGTATTAATTAGTCAGGGTACTCCAGGGACATAGAACCATCAGGATGTGCATACATAAAGATGACTCACAAGGAACTGGCTCATGTGATTACGGAGGCTGACAAGTCTCAAGATCTGCGTCGGCAAGCTGGAGACTCAGGAGAGCCAATAGCGGAGCGCCAGTCTGAAAGGCGGTGACTCCAGACCCACGAGAGGACCAATGTCCCAGCTCAGCGGCCGGGCGGGAGGAATCCCCTTTACTTTCTGGAGGGTCAGCCTCTTAGTTCTGTTTAGGCCGTCAACTGATTGGCTGAGGCCCGCCTGCCTCAGGGAGGGCAACCTGCTTCACTCAGTCTACTGATTGAAATGTTCATCCCAGCCAAAACCACTCTCACAGAAAGACCTGGAATGATGTCTGACCAAATGTTTGGGCACCCTGTGACCCAGTCAAGTGGACACATAAAATTGGCCATCACTAGTCAACTTTACGTGTCCACCTAACTAATTAGCCAACGAGTCGTCCTCTTCTGAAGAGCTGCTTTCTATGCAGTCCGGAGAGAGGTGCTGGAGAGGGGGTAACTGAGTGGAGTCTGATGATGGGACTTGTCAGAAAGGTGAGGGCAGGATGGAGGAACTTAAGCTGGAGGGGTGGGGAAGTCCGGGGACCGCTAGAAGCCGCTATGACCTCCGGGTCTGATGGTGCAGGCAGAGGGGATGTGCCAGGCACTGTTCAAAGCACCTGACACACATTACCTTAAAAAAGTTTGAGATGTAATTCACATACTGTACCATTCATTGATTTAAAGTATACAATTCAATGGCTTTTCGTGTATTCAGAGTCAATTTTAGAACATTTGAATTATCCTGAACAGAAATCCTGAACCCCTTAGCTATCACCCTAGAAGACCCCCTTTCCCCTAGCCCTAGGTGATCACTAATCCACTTTCTGTCTCTATGGATTTGCCTACACTGGACATTTCATGTAAATGGAATCATACAATACAGGGTCTTTTGTGAACAGCTCCTATGACTTCGCATGTTTTCAGGTTCATCCATGACAACTCAGTGCATTCATTTTACAAGTGGGTAAATTAAGGCACAGAGAGGTTAGGTAACACCTGGTAAGTGGCAGAGGAAGAATTCACACCCAGGTGTTTTGGACCATTACACTACACTGCCTCTCGGTCACCAAAGAGCCCTCACCCAGGTCCTCAACCAACCTCAAGGGGAGAGCTATAGCGACAGCCCCGTGGTCTCATCTCTGACCCAGTCCACCTGAAGCCACTGCCCCATCTATGTCCACTCAAGCTCTGTCTCCATCAGGACCTCCTGGCTCCAGGGGACATGAAACCTTTTTACCTGCCTGTCACCTGTTCCCCATTCTCTTGGAAGCCAACGGGGCTCTGCCTCCCTTTGTGGGCCCACGTGGCTTGGGTGGAGTTGTCCCCACTCCATCAGTTTCAGGAGCAACTATGCGACCAGGGCTGGCTCATGGGAGCACAATTCCCTGGACCACAGTGATTGGTCAAGGACCAAGAATGTGACCTGACTGGAGAAAAATGAGACTAGAGGTGAGGACGGGACATGTGCCACCAATTTGAGGAAGCAAAGTTTTTTCTCTTCTTCAGAAGACAGAGGAAGAGACGCTCACCCTTCTTGTGGACACGGGTATTAGGTGATGTACAAAAGTGCTACAGCAAATCTGCTGCCATACATGAGGAGGGCCGCTGCCACTGGGGACCACTGGGAACTATTATTATTATTATTATTATTATTATTATTATTTATTATTTATACCCACAGCACCTGGTTTTCCTAGGCGGTCTCCCATTCAACTATTAACCAAGCCCGACCCTGCTTAGCTTCCGAGATCAGACATCGGGCTTGTTCAGGGTAGCATGGCCGTAGACCATGGACCGTGGCTCCACTGAGGCACGAACCCAGAACCTTCTGTGTGTAAAGCAGACGTGCTAACCTAACCGCTACACTATGGAACCATGTCCTTGGCAACCCAATTTCGACACTGTGAAAAGCAGAGGGAGGAGAGAGAGACAGAAGCCAGGTGTTTGGTTCGCTCACCGGAGGAAAATGACCTCTGGCTTTTTCTTTAGCAGAACTAATAGCTTCTCGTTAGAAGGAAAGGTGAGTCATTTAACGTCTCCTCTAAATGATATAAGGGAAGAGTGAGGATTTCACGTTCTAAAATTCTTTTAAGCACTTTGAATAATATGCTCCCTTAAAGTAGCCAAATAACTGAGATAATTCATCTTTGAATGCCCACGTTGTCTCATTTAAACACATACACACACAGCACATTAGCAAGTGAGTGCAAAAGGCGGCATCGCCACGCAATTTTTTATTGTTTCAATAAAGCCACCTGTAAAAATACGACATAAAGGCTGCTCCCCTCGGCAGAATGGGAGGTATTGCTGTCACCACTGTGTCCACCGGATAAAGACAATCAGGTCTGGAACATGTCTCCAGCTGCCACTATGCCGAATGGGCTGGAGAAATTCGGAACAAGTCATATCTTAGCAGAAAACAGCGCAGGAAAAGTGAGACAGAACAGAAACCCGGAGTCAGCCCAGGAAGGAGGATGTCAAGCTGGGAAGAGCATCTATCTGTGGCCAGATTTCAAAGGAAGCCCTTGTGGAATTAAGCCGAGTCTCAGCCAGAGACTTTCAGCCCAGTCCCACAGCGTCTGCTTCAGCGGACTGCGGGAGCAGGAGCATCTGTAATTTTTTTTTTTTAAATCTCAAGAGTTTATTCTGACATGCACGCCTAGTTAAGACTTCTAGGATTAAGCATTAGGAAATTCTGTTTAACTGGAAATGTAACAGGTTTTCAAAAAGAAAAGGAAAGAAGTATATGAAGAAAAGTTTTCAAAAAAAAGAAAAATAACCAACCCCCCTCCCCCAACATAGCAGCAATAAATACGAAGCGTTCTGAGGGAGAAGAGTTGAGACATGGTTATGACCGTGATGTTTGTCAGGCTCATGCTGGGTTTGGGGTACAGATGGACAAGAGGATTGAAAGACATCACAAAGTTGACCCCCCTTCCTCACTACATACTTTCAACCAGAAGTTTCTAGGAGTGTCATATTGAGATCGGATCATCTGTCATTACTTGTTTTGTGTCATTTTGTTCCATGTTATGAGCCCACGTAATTTTCTTTCTTAGCTTAGATTCATTTATCAAAGAATAGCTCAGGGCCTGCTAAGCTCCAGGTGCTGGGGACAGCCCTGGGCTTTGAGAAGCTCACTGCCAGGTTGGAGAGACGGTACAGCAGAAACCACGCAGTGACAGAATGCAATACCAAGGCAGGACGCTGGGGTATGCAGGGCTAGGACAGGGTGTGGGATGACATCATCTAACAGAAGAAGTTTGAAAGGGCCAGGAGCCTTCATCAGAAGGGCGGACAGCACGTGGATCTGAGAAAGGTGTGGGTGAGTAAGGTGGGCGCTGGCTTCTCCATGTGGTACTCCTAGACAGCGACTAATCGGCCTCTTCTGTGTTTTCTCCTCTTTTCTGAAAGAGAAAATGCCTCCTCCCTGATTAGGATGCTTATCAGTGGCCCAGCACAGGACACGACAGCCAGTCGAGCCCTCTGCATCTTGCCGTGTGCAAATCTCACATTCCACTCCCGTCCAGCGGCAGAGATCAGGAGGTGCGATTACTGGGGCCGGATTATCACAACACAGGGCACTCTCCCGGCCTTGCTCACCAGGCGGTGTCCCTATGACACCGTGCAAATGACTAGCCTGTCTGCAGGACTCCGGACTCTGGGGTGAGGGCGCCCTCTGGTGGCCACAGGCGGCCCCGGGAAGACCGCAACCTTCCTTGCCCTTGGTGCGCTCAGTAGCGAACCTTCCTACAGGGTCCAGGATCAAAGGACCCCTGCAGGGCTGCCATTTCCGGAGGCGATAGTGGGAGGAAGCACGTAGCACGTCCTGAAGGTGAGCGGCCTTTTAAACCCTGGAAAACGTATTCATCAGAAAAGTGCTTTGAGCTGAGGCAGGGCCAGAAAAAGGCGGTTTTGAAGAAAGGTTTCCTTCCTTCTTCTTTTGGGAAAGGTCATGTTTTCCTCCTCAAACCACAAGATCTTAAGGAAACCCCTAAAGGGGCCCTGGGTGGGAGCCCAGAGGTTTCGACACATTCTCAAGGAAGTACAGTATCTCCCACAGGGCTGAGAACCCCAAGGGGTCCCTCCTCCTGAAATTCTGTAGAAACTATGTTCAAAGGTGGCCCCCATGAAGCATTAGAGGTCCCCAAAGGCTGTTAATAACCCAAGCGTCCGCTGACAAGGGGACGGAGGAAGAAGTGGCCGCGTTTTAGTGATTAAGTTCGAGCCGCTGCAGCACCTGGCGGATTCTGTAAAGTGGGGTGAGGAGGGCCCGTGGTCGCAGGGCGGTCCTGAGTTCCCGGGTGAAGCAGTTAGAACCTACACTCAGCAGGGTGGGAGCTGACACCGCGTGGCTGTGGCTCTGCTATAAAATGAGAGTTCTGCAGCCGATTAGGAGAATGAGGTGGATCGATGCTTATCACCTTGGAAAGATGGCCACACGGGTCACTGAATGAACAAGGCGCACTGCAGCCGAGGTGCACAGTATCATTCCGCGTAGGGAACAACACAAACCCAAACGAGTACGTGTTATGGATGAAAGATTCTTTAAGAGTCTGGAAAGGTACACAATGAACTAGTAATAGCGGTTACTTCTTAGGAATAAGTTTGAAAAGGGTGTTTTTTCTTTTCTTTTTTGTATGCAATTTGTATTGTTTGATTTTGAGGCAAGCATTACTTTTGGATAGGAAAAAAGAAAAACAAATGTAGTGTCTTATGGAGCAGATAACTAACTATATCACAAAGTAAGGCAAAAGGTCGGCTTCCTGGTAATCAACAAGTGGTCTACAGGGAGACTTATCTGTGACTGTTAATACCCTTTAGCTCTGTTGGACTAGTTCGCCATGTGGATACATGCATTATTACAAAAAAAAAAGTTTTAACTTTTTAAAATAGGGCAATTTAACTTTGTATTTAGTCTAAGAAAAATGTATTGAGTTTCAGGCACTGTGCTTAGCTCTGAAGCCATGGAAACGACCAAGACAGTCTCCGCCCTCCAGGAGTTCACAGTCTAGTTCAGTGCTCCTCAAAGTTCACCGTGCTTCCTAACCACCTGGAAATGCTGCGTGATTGTTACCTACTGCTGTATAACAAATCAGCCCCAAACTGCAGCTGAAAACCACAAACATTTATTATCTAACACGGTCGCTTGAGAGGCAGGAATTCAGGAGTCATTTAGCTGGTGGTCTGGCTCTGGGTCTCTCGTGACATCGCAGTCAAGATCCTGGCTGCCGTCATCTGAAGGCCTGACTGGGGCTGGGGGATTCACTTCCACGCTGTGGCACAAACATGTCTGCTGGCACGGGGCCTCGGTTCTTGGCCATGTTACCCTCTCCACAGATTAACTGCTGGAGTGTCCTCACAACGTGGCGGCTGGCTACCCCCTCAGGCGAGGGATGATGGAGAGAAAGGTAGAAGCTGCAACGTCTTTTATGACCTAGCAGCCTTGGCAGTCACACTCCATCACGTCCACGACCTTGCTAGAAACGAGTCGTTAAGTACAGTCCGCACTCACGGCAAGGAGCATGAGGTTCCTCTGAACAGAGGGGCATCAAGGAATTTGTGGACATACTTTAAAACCACATCTTGCTAAGATGCATGTTCTGATTTAGCAGGTCTGAGGAGGAGCCCAAAGTTCTGCATTTCCAACACACGCCCAGGGGATACCACTGCTGTTGGTCCGTGGACCACACTTTGAGTAGAGAGAGAATCAAACACATGCAAAGAATGATTGCTCAGATCACGTCTTTGGAACTACTGCTTGCAAGAATAACATCCTCTGTCATCATGGCATCATCTTTGGATGGTGTCCAATTTTAAAATCACATTTCCCCTGAAAGGTCAGAGCAGTAAAGCAAGGGAAAGACAAGATCACTTTGTTAATAAACGAGGACAAGCTGTAATGAAATAAAAAACAATCAGAGGGGGATTCGGAAAATCTCTCTGGTCTTGTTCTGGAAGCTCTCAGAAGGATAAGACATCAGCCATCAATTTTGAAGGGGACGCTAAACAAACAGCAGCAAAGCTGGCTTTTAATACGGACTGCACCAAGTGTCTTCATGTGCCTAAGACTCTCGAATGCAATACTTAAAATTAGCTTTGAGACGAGAAGGCAACAAACAGCCCCAGCATCTTAGATGATCAAGGCTTCTATCGGCTCTGTTGGCTTGAAGGGCTGTACATTAAACAAAGTGTCTCCCCATTCAACAGCTGGATTGAAATTTGCTATTGAATATAACATAAAACTATAAGTCCTGTATTGTTTTATTGCTATGACTTACACACCATAAAATTCATTACTTTAAAGCGTACGATTCGGTATTTTTTTAGTGTATTCACAAAGTTGTGCAACTCTCACCATCATCTAATTCTAGAACATGCATCACCCCAAGAAGAAACTCCATATGCATTAGCAGCTGCTTCCCAGTCTCCCCATCTCCTGCAGCCCTAGGCAACCACATCTATCTGCTGTCTCTATGGATTTGCCTGTTCTGGAGATCTCATACAAATGGAGTCATACAATATGTGGCCTTGTGTCTGGCTCCCTTCACTTAGCGTAATTATTTTTTATTACTGTGGTAAAATACACATAATATCAATTTTACCATTTTTATGTGTAGAGTTCAGCAGCATTATGGGCACTGTTGTGCGATCATCACCGCCATCCAGCTCTAGAACTATTTCCCTGTTTCCACACAAAAACACTACCCGAGCATCACATTTTTAAGGTCCGTCACTCTTACTGTTCCTTTTTATGGCTGACTCTTACTCCATTGTATAGACATAACACAGTTTGGTTATCCATTCATCAGCTAATAAATGGGCCGTTTCCATTTTTTGGCTATTATGAATAATGCTGCTATGAATATTCATATACAAGTATTTGTTTGAACACACTGTTTTTACTCTTTTGGGGTTGATATCTAGGAGATGGGTTACTGCTTCATATGGTTAATTCTACGTTTAACTGTCTGAGGAACTGCCACGCTGTTTTCCAAATGGCCTGCAACATTTTACAATCCCTCTAGCGGTGTATAGGAATTCTGATCTCTCTACATCCTCTCCAAAACCCTTTTTTTTTTTTTTTTGATTTACTGTCTTTTCAATTATAGCCACCCTACTGGGTGTGAAGTGGCTTCTCATTGTGGTTTTCTCTAATGACTAATGATGTTGAGCATCTTTTTGAATGCTTATTGGCCATTTGTACATCTTCTTTGGTGACCTGTCTATTCAAATCCTTTGCCTGTTTTTAATTGGCAAAATATTTATCTTATTGTTGAGTTGTAAGAGTTCTTTACATATTCTAGATTCAAATCTCTTATCAGATATATGATTTGTAAATATTTTCTCCCATTCTGTGAGTTGTCTTTTCATTTTTGTGATAGTATTCTTCAAAGCACAAATTTATCTATTTTTTTCTTTTGTTGCATGTGCTTCTGGTATCATATCGAAGAAACCGTTGCCTAATCCACGGTCACATAGATGTACCTGTTTTCTCCGAAAAGCTTTAGTTTTAGCATTAACACTTTTAATCCATTTTGAGTTAATTTTGTATAAGCTGTGAAGTAGGGTCCACACTTATTCTTTGTATGTGGATATCCAGCCTGCATTTTTTTTTTTTTAAATCATCAGCAAGAAGCACAGAGAATGGCCTTACTTTGGTTCCTGGAGCAGCTTTTCTGTTTTCCCCCAGCTGGAAGATTGAGTTTTATAGCAAAACAATTTGTACAGCCAGGGGCCCAGGGGCCCAGGGGCCCAGCCCAGCTTGGTAGCATGTTTACAATAAGTGTCCACTGAACTGTGCTGAGAAGCACACAGAGGTCATCTTGAATTACCAGTTATGTGAAAATGACTTTTAACAAGGAAGCATTATTTCTTCATTCATTCATTCCCATCAATAACTATTTATTGAGCACCTATTATGTGTCAGTGATTAAGACAAAGATTCCTGCCCTACAGAGCTTATATTCTTACAGACAAGAAACATAACAAGTACATTATATAACACGCCAGACGGTGCTACGTGCTACGGAGGGGAAAAGGCGCAGAGGGGGTGAGGCGTGCGGCGGAGTTTGCGATTTTAAAGATGTGGTCGGCGTGGCCTCTTTTAAAAGGTGGCATCTGGGCAAGGAGCTGGTGAGGTATCTGACCATGTGGACATCTGGGAAGGCGCATTCCAGGTGGAGGGACAGCCACTGCACAGACCACAGGCAGGAAGGAGCGTGCCTGGCATTCTGAGAAACAGCAAGGCCTGTGTGGCTGGAGCAGAGTGAGGAAGCGGGAATGAGGTCAGAGAGGACCGGATTGATCACGCGGGGTCTTGTAAACAATTTCAGGGACTGTGACTTTCGGTTGGAGAGAACTGGGAAAAGACACTTGGGAGGTTCTGAGCTGAGAAGTCACGTGGTCTGAGGAGGATCACTTTGCCCGCTGCGTGGAGAATGGACTGCGGGAGGATGAGAGTAAGGCAGGAAGAATAGTTAGGAGGCTTCTAACATAATCCAGGTGGGGGTGAGGGGGGCTGGGCAGCAGGGAAGGCGGTGGAAAGGATCTGGTAGAGCCCACAGGATGGCCTGGTCACGTGGATGGGAGTGCAGCAGAGTCAGGTGTCAAAGATGATTCCAGAGATTCTGGCCTGAGAACCAGAAGGATGCAGCTGCCTTTAGCTGTGATGGGGAAGGCCACCGGGGAAGCAGGCCTAGGGGGAAGGCGAGGCAGGTTCGGCCTGGGGCAGGTGGCGCTGGAAATGCCCTTCGACTTCCAAGTGGTCACGCAGGAAGTGGGATATTTGAAAATGAGCAATCTGGGGTGGAGATGCACATGTGACGGGATCAGCCACAAGATGGAATGAGATACCAAGAAAAAGATGATGGACACACAGGGCCAAGGACCGCAGCCTGGGACCCCTGGCATCGAGACACCCAGAGCAGAGGGAGAATGGCCCAGGAGGCGGCTTTCACAGTTTTGCAGCTGCTTAGAAACACACTGGTCCCTCCCTCCCCTCCTCCCTTCTCCCCGCTTCCTTCTTCTTCCTCCTCCTTCCTTCCTTCTCATCTTCTTTTAAATGGGCACCTACAATATACCAGGGACTGGAAAAGATATTTTGCCCTCAAGAAACTCCTGGCTCATACAGAAAAGACATAAAATGCACATGGACAAAATAACATAGACACAAGGCGGTAACTGCGTGAGAACTTGGCTCTTCAGCTGCTAGCCACTACACCAGACTTGTAGCGCTACACACGCCTGTTTGTAACCTAGCACAAGAGAGTCTGGACTCTCACAGTGTCTTCGACCCTTCTCCCCATGTTTAATTTACTACTACTATTATGAGAAGACTGATTTACTTGATCGCATAAGACTAAATTCACTCTTGCTTTAGGAAAAGAGAGGATTAATCCAAACTATCCCGGTGCCCACTGTCCTTCAAAACCGAACCCTTCTGAGGCAAGTCATGCCCCGTCACGTGGTGCTGATCGAATCCAGGGTGCCTGTGGCAGGCAAGGCCTGAGGATGTGGTTCTTCACCAGAAGAAGCGTACAGACAGGAGGCTCCCAGTCCTGACTCACACTGGGACCACCGCAGAGCTGGAAACCACTCTGATCCTGGGCCCCACCGGAAATAACTCAGAATGTCTGGCTGACAATCTGACAATTGTTAAAAAGCATCCTAATGAGCAGCCAGAGAGGAGAACCACTGACCGAGCTTTTTCATAAATGATTTAAAACTTTGCAAATCATAAAAGATTTCAATAAAGTATGAAAATTTGGGTCCCTTCCGGTCCATTCTTTTGGTAACAGACCTACGGGAAATGATTATAATGCAAGTTTGCAAATAATCTACAACTCAGTCTATTCTCTGACGGAAGGAGCCCACTCTCAATCTACGATTCAAAACAGAAACAACGGCAGTCTGCCACTTACCTGACGAACTTGGCCATCCTGCTGTGTCCATAACGAACACTCTGGTGCTTTAAATTACCTTTTGTTACCAGTAAACTCAAAATTTTCTCTTAGATTCCTGTTACTTTCAAGATTCATTCTTGATATTTTAGGAAAAATTTAGCTATGGAACAAACAAGAACCAGCTTCGTTTGCTGTAATTTGCATACATCAGCCTTACAGCATAGAGTTACACAGAAAAAAATCAACATGAGAGAGTTTTATTTAAAAAAACTCTCGCAGCTTATTAACAAAATTCACATAACGATATATGCGCATAACTGCAAAACCAGCCTAAATTGGCCTTGTCCTGTTTCTAACGAGATACTAAGTTGTTTTTCAGAGGTAACAAGGTGGCAGATCACGCAGTCGGACAGTGAGACATGAGTACTAGGGAATGAATTCACTCTGCAATAACCTTTTAACATTGCTGGGTCAAAATCCACCACGGAATACATACTAAATCCGTGCCCCGGAATTCAAACATGCGACGCATGAAAAGCCGTGATCCTCAAGAGCCCGCAAACCCAGTTCTTCTCTGACGGACCTCGCATGAAGCCTTTCCTTTTCTCGAAAGCCGATGTCCTAGCATGGGCTTTTGTGCGTGCTAGGCAGCGAGCCCTTGCTCAGTAATGGTAACTGGCTATTTCCTTTCCCGCCAATGTCACTCATTAAATTACTGTCATCTTTTATAGACAGGGAAAAGTGGACATACCTTAAAATCTTTCTGATAGATATATTGCCGTGCTGCATCCAGCCTGGATAACCTTCTTCAAAACGGCATACGCTGGAGCCTGTCAGAGACAACAACAGTAAGCCGAGCAAAGAAACACGTTCTGTGTTCGCGTCTAGCTGTGAAGTACAGGCCTCGCATGGCACGGCTGGGACTTCTCTGGATAGCAAATAAGATCTAAGAAACAATTCATTTTAGTTTGGAAAAAAAAAATCTATTCAAAAGATTAGAATGCTTAAGCACTGAGTCATCTGGTTTCTCACCAAAATGGGGACAAAGCTGCTAGAAAAAAGATAAAGGAGGAAGCAAGAAACAGGATTCCCAGTTCAGGCAGGTGCCTTTGCTCGCTTTTTGTCAAAGCAGTGGACTGGTTTTCTTTCTGTGGCGGTCACTCTGAAATCTATTTTCCTGGGAACAGAAACCTTCCTCCCCTCCACCCTCCATGTAAGGTGCCCGAAGCGCCATAAGCCAACAGCAAAGGCGGGTCCTCACCAGTTCTGCATCATGTTCAAGGCCTATGTCATGGTGCTCGAGCTCTTCATCCCGAAATTTCTTAAGCACCTAGTTGAAGAAATCGAAGCAAGTCAGCATTCCAACTCTCCTGCTGTTCTGTCTTATTTTGGAGGGTAAAGCCTTATATTAGTATCTAAGACAGGGGTTGGCAAACTTTTCCTATAAAGGGCCAGAATCAATACTTTAAGTTTCACACACTGTATGGTCCCCATTGTAACTACTCAACTCTGCCACAGCAGCCATGGATATGTCGATGAATCAGTATGACTATGTTCCAACAAAACATTATTTACAGAAAAGGTGGTCGGCCACAGGCCATAGTTTACCAAACCCTGATTTAGGCCTAAAAAAATAAAATAAAATAAAATAAACAGTTCCTTTACCCACTATGGAAAGTTATTTGAGAGCACCCCTTAGTTCATTTAATTTGTAGGATCTGTGCCCACAGCATTGCTCAGGGTCTACCAATAATCTGGAATTGGAGAGAAGATAGGCCTGAGGTCAGGAGACACAGGTTCTAGTCCCAGCTCTGCCTGAGCATGTGACCAGGGCACACAGTTTCAGCTCTCTGCGCCCCAGTTGGCCCGCCTTTAAAATGAGGTGCTGACTTACATTCCCAAGGTCGCATCATCCCCTAACATTCTATTTTTCTTCTTACCAAACTGCATACGTGCCCCTTTCCCCTTTCCCAGCCCCCTCCTGGAGCAGAGTTGAATACCTGCAGAAGCTCCTCATATTTTTCAGGATCCTCCATCCAGCTTCAGCTCTCTGCGCCCTAGTTGGCCCGCCTTTAAAATGAGGTGCTGACTTACATTCCCAAGGTCGCATCATCCCCTAACATTCTATTTTTCTTCTTACCAAACTGCGTACGTGCCCCTTTCCCCTTTCCCAGCCCCCTCCCGGAGCAGAGTCGAATACCTGCAGAAGCTCCTCATATTTTTCAGGATCCTCCATCAGTGTCCTGATCTGGTTGTTGTAGTGATGCGCTATGGACTCTTCCACAGCTACAGTGCAGGCCATCGCTCCCTCCTTGCCCAGCAGGGCGGTTCCCGCACCTGGAATTGTCCAATCCAGAGCGGTAAAGGATGGGATGATACCACCGGCAGGGAGAGCATGTCAGGTCGGGCCCATCAGCCTGGGCACCATGAGCTTTGGCCTGGATATTCCCTGCTGTGTGGGCTGCCCTGTGCATTGTGGGATATTAAGCAGCGTGCCTGGCCTCTACTTACGAGATGCTGGTAGCGTCCCCAGGTGTGACACCAAAAATGTCTCTAGATGTTGCCAGGTGTCCTCAAGAGCAACCTGCCCGCGCTGAAAACCACGGTTTTAGATGGGACCAAGTCAGAGTATTAAACCCTGAATCAAACAGTAAAAATGCTATTCTCTTTTCAATGCTCTTCCTATACTGCTTATGACAAGGAGAAAGTCATCGTTTGGGGTGAGTATGACCTTGATGCTTCTATGCCATTTACTCTCCTCCCTTTTTAAGGGTGAGCAGATCTCAGGTTTAGAACCTTGGTCAGAGAACACGATCTGGCCACAGTTGAATTACTCAAGCTTTCTTGCCCCCTCTGTTGTATTTTTACTGTACCTTCTATTTATAAAACTAATTTTAAGATTCTATCTTAAATAAATTTAAGCAAAAAAAAAAAAAAATTTAAGGAAAATATTGAACAAAACGTTTTAAGTCGTGCATAGATATGAGAAACATCTTGACTTGAATGACTGCGATTTGGAAATCATAATGTGATAGGAAGATGCTGGGGAAAGGCTTTCTCTTCCATAAAGACACGTAAGCGTTCCCTCCAGGAAGCGACGTGCCCTGCCCATGAACCACGGTCCCAGCATCGGCCCCTCAGACCCGCTGCGTTTAGCTCATTTCAAAATTAGGAGCACAGAATATTAGCTATTGTGTAATTTCCTTCCAGATTGCTAGCACATAAATATCATTTACATCAAGGGAGAAAAGGCAGATGATGATCACAGTTAACACATAGTGCTTCCAGTGCCAGGCGCTGTCAAACAGCTTTATAGAGGCAGCTTATTTAAGCTGCTCGACCACTTCGTGAAGGACAAACTATATTATCCCCATTATACAGATGAAGGAAGTGAGGCACAGAGAGGTTAAGTAACTTGCCCAAGGACTCAGAGCAGGCAATTTAACTTGCGCTAAGTATCCATTACATGCCAGGCATAATATTAGCTGTTCCACACTAGCTCATTTACTCCTCACCAAAACCCAATGAGGTAGGTGTCAGCCCATTTTGCAGATATGGAAATGGAACTCAGCGGTCACATGACTTCTCCAAGGTCACACAGGTAGGAGGTCTGTATGGCTACTGAGCCCAGGCCCCTCCCTCTGCATCTCAGTATAAAGTATCTCCACTGGACTCCATGGGGGGCAGAACCACAATCTGTTGGCAACTGGTACTTTCACCTAACGTGGTGATTCTCAACCTCTTTTTCATTGTCACTCGCCCCCGTGAAGTTTTAATAGTATGGATAATACTGTGTATCTGTCTATGTACAAGATGTCTATCTCTGGTCTATACATAAAAAGAATAATATGCTTTTCATTCTCCCCTCCCCAGTATCCGATTTTCACTCTCTTGCAGACAACAGCATGTCCCTTGAGAATGTACGACCTAATGTGATTCATTACTCGAAGGCCTGTGGCTCCTCCCCCGCCCCCACCCCAGAGTCAGTAGCCCAGACTGAGACAGAAAGCAGTGCCCACCTGAATGACGGGCCCAACGCTCGACCGACCCAGGACGGCCATCTGCCCTGCGTAGATGCGGTTCGCTCCGTATTCACCTGCGTGATCCACCCGGAGTATTCGACCCACCGCCGTCTGACTGCCGCTGTCTAAGATCATTCCTGAACTGCGAAACCTGACACCGATTCTTCTTCCATAAGCTGCAATGCAAGTGTTTATTCTTCATTACTTTCAGGTAAATTGAGATGTTTCCGTTTTACAGAGAGAAGAAAGGGAAATCTTAGAACAAAGGTCACGGATGAGTTCCTTGCAGGCTGGTATGCCCATAAGTGTATTCTGTTTAACCTGCAGTGGTTTTTTTTTAACGAGTGAATTAGTTCCCAACGCTTAGAAGATTTTAGCTAACGATCTGGATTCTGGCTTCACTTGAAGTGTATCTAGACAACCTGAGCCTGTCTTCTCCCCAGGCAGTTACTGTGGCCGCTGCATCCAGATGGGCGTGGTTCTCCTGTTCACCCCTCCTGGCCCGCTTTGTTCCCAACTCTGATTGCACAGAATCTCCTAGGGAGCTTCACCACTATAGATGCTCCTCCCCAGTGGATCTCTGGGAGAGCAGCACTGATAGTTTTAAAAAGCCCCGGGCATGAATCTTCTCTGCAGCCAAGGTTGAGGACCACAGATACGTTCTCTTAAAACACCTGCGCCCATGGGCATCTGATATGGAGAACCGAGCCTCAGAACTTAGGTTTCATCACATTATGGTACATAACCAATTCAGCTGAACAACTCTTGCCTTCAAAACGTAAATTCTTCAGGACGAATATCTCTAAAAATCGCTTGATAGTAACATCTTGAATGTATTCTCTGAACCTTGTATGAAGACATCCCAAAAGTGTTTTCCTTAAGAGAAGGGTTTTGTAATGTGTTTAAGTGTGCACGGTGTTATCGCCCCATTTTGTAGATGTGGAAGTGGAGAGCCAGAGAGACCATTTAGTTTGCAATGTGAACTTTGAAATGTATTGGTATCTTCCTGAGATGTGTTCCAAGGCTCTCATATATGACTCTTATGTCTCCAATAGATATTTCTTTTCATTTAGGCTAACTTCAATACCTAGGAAAATGTGCGGAAAAATTTAATTTGGGTACAACTGTACTTTTTTCGTTAAAAAAGCTTGAGTGCTTTGGTCATATGGTGATGGGGTGGGCCTGGTGGAATTTGGGGTGGCTCTGCATTGGAACTTTTTGGCCACATGGAATTTTAAATACCTCACTCTAAGCAAAGGAGCATGGACGTGGAGGTCTGGAGCATGGTGACCTTGCTTTGACCTATTCTGCACAACCTACTCCATCTCACTGAGCATATTTGACTCAAGAAACTGTACAGAGCCCAGGAACTAGACACCAAGAACTGAATGGAGTCCAAGTTCTGCCAAGTGTAATGTACCACTCAGTTCTGTGCCTTCAGACAATGGGTCACCGTGGTCCGTGGCCATGTTTTTATGTGGAGAACAATTTGAGATGTTTGATAAAGTCAAGGTAGCCTGTCACAGGTTTTTGCCTCCAAGGACTGCTGCTGCCATCAATCTGACCTCCTTGCAGAAAGGTGGGGCCCAGAAATTGAAACTGAAAATGATGAGCTGGCTCTATTTCTCAAAATAATCTTGTTTGCTTGTTCTCTCATCTGTTACTCCCACTCAAAAATATGTTTATGGAAAAAACTTTAAAGACAATCCAGTACTCATCTCTTAAAATCCATTTACTGAAAAATAGCAAGGGGCTGAGTACACAAGATGAGTTCAAACACACAGCTGACTTTTGATGTAGGATTCTATTTATAATAAAAACATACTAGGCTGTTTCCTGGCACTGCAACGCCTTTTCAGATTCAGGCACCTAATAAATGATTTGGCGGGGTGGGGGCAGGGGATACGAAGGATTGGGTATCATATTTGTCATTTCTATCTTTTCACAATCTCTGTAAGGTGCCTTTAATTAAAGCATGGCTGGACCATAGGAAAGGCACAGAGCTAGTGTCAGAAAATACATGTTCTGTCTCAAACACTAACCCTGGACAAATCAAACTTGCCATTTCTTACATATGAGATTGGTAATAATCCATTTTTTTCCTTTTCAAGAGAAAATATACCCAAAAAAACCCAAAACCCTTTTTATTGAGTTATGAAGACAAATGATATAGGAATCAAAGCAACTTTACAAATGAAAAAAGAATGATTCCTATTCTGTTATATTCATTGGCTCAACAAAGGAGCATTAAAATTCATTTTCAACAATCCTGAATTTTGCCTGCACTGTCAGTCTGAAATAAAATTGAGAAAAAATAACTTGAGATCCAGTGCTAGAAGCTCTCAAAAGCATCATTTCACATTCGTGTTTTCCCAAAGTGTGAAACACATACATACCAGTGGTGATACCTAGAAGATTTTAAGTTGTACACAGGAAGATCTTATGTGCCTTACAGGCGTTACAAAACACCCATGTAGTAAGTTATCCTCTTTCAATTCTCTTCCAATCCTTTTGATTTCCTCAAGGAGACTGCCTCAGTTTGCAGCTGACTTTATGTGAAGACCTTCCTAACATTTGCTAATCTCTTTTTGACAGAAAGAAATATGATCTTAGGATCAAGCCTTGATAGGCAACGATATCTATTTACAATTTAATAACTGTGTTTTCAGCATATTTATTTTTTACGGTTACTCTATTTGGGGCAGGTGATACTGCTCTTCTGTTTACCATCAGGGTTTAATTTCCCTGAATTATTTACCTTAAAAATGTAACGCGGTTATAAAAAAAAAACATATTTAATAATCAGAAGTACAAATAGTGTTGCTATAAGGCAGAGTCCCGAAGACAGTACACAAACTATTTCACTTTGAGAAAACGACCTCACAATTTTCTGAGGCAGCTCAGACGAAACAAGGAAGGAGCCCAAGTCCTCCTACTCCAGATTCGACGTTCTTGCCTCTGCCGTGGTGCTTCTCGAACTTTCTAGTGCATACGGATCATTCCAAGAGCTTGTTAAAATACTACAGATAGAGCGACCCAGTAGGTCAGGGGAGTGACCTCAGAATCTGCATTTCTAACAAGTTAGGGGACAGGAATGGCGGGAAGCAGATGCTGCTGGTCGCATGACTACACTTTGCTTGGCAAGGCCCTGAGCGATGGCAACGATGACACACACGCCCCTGGGACACTGAACTTTCAAAGTCGCCAACTGTCCTCAGCCCAGAATGCAGACCGCACCTGCGGTGACGTCACGGCACAGGTGTGCAGTTCCCCAACGTGCCAACCTTCTGCGGCCGCCCCAGAGCGTCACTGAGGAAAACCACCCCCTTCCCAGACGAATCGCACCCCCGCGCGCACTACAGGCCCCACCCCGCCGCCAGCGCCCCCGGGTTTCCAGCCACAAGTTGCGCTCCGTCGCAGCCCTGTGACGTATGTAAACGCGTCCCCCGTGACCTCTCCGGTCCAAACCCGTGGCGAAAATTCCCTGACTAGCCGGCTCAGCGCAGGATGGCGGCTCCTTTACCTGAGAGGGTCCGCGGGCCGCCGCAGGTGCGCACCGGCCACAGGGAGCGAGACGCCACCGCCCGGGCGCAGCTCATTGCCGCGACAACAGAGCAACCACGCTCGTGAGAGAAGCCGGCCAAGCGCGCCCTTGCGGCTGACTGATGACGCACGGCTTACGTAAGCAGGACGCTACCCGTATTTGCATTGGCGGAAACGTCCCTAGACCCCCTGCTTCCATTCGATTGGTTGGACACGGCAAATGCAAAGATTCTATTGGATGCGGTCGCTATCAATCACTCAGAAGTTCGACAGCGGTGAACGAGACTTGGGTTGCCATGGAGATGAGAACGCTAACTTGTTCTTTCAAAGATCCCGACAAGGTAAAGATTTCTTCACCTAATTTCCTGGGAAAGAGGACTATGAAGAAATTATTTATTGGCATAACCACCTTCTGCTTTAGCAACGTGGAAGATTTTTTTCTCTATGTGTATCCCACATCCACTTTAAAATAGAAGAAATTACATGCTGAAATAAAGTTTACCAAGTGACCAATAGTGTTATCTCTAGGTATTGGGCTGACAGATGACTTAAAATTCCTTTCTAGTTCTTTTCTCTGTGTTCAGGTTTCCTACAGATAACGTGTATTATTTTTTCTGTCCATTTCACTGTTGCTGTGTGCTTATATCGGTGCAAATTGGTTTCTTGGGGGATGGTGTGGGGAGATTTAGCAACATATATCATACTTTTAAAAGTGCATAACCAATGTGTCAATGTAGATTCATCACTTGTAACAAACGTACCACTCTGGTAGGGATTTTGATAAAGGGGGGAGGTCTGTGTATATGTGGGGTAGGAGTTATGGGAAATCCTTGTACCTTCCTCTCAATTTTGCTATGAATCTAACACTGCTCTAAAAATGAAGTGTTAAGGAAATTTTTTTTTTGTTAGAAATGTTTTAAAAATGTATATCCGCTGATATAGCAATCCTACTTCTAGGGATCTATCCAATGGAAATAATTTTTCAAATGTGTAAAGTGTGTATGTGAGGGCAAAAACAATCAAAGCTGCATACTTGGAAATGATATATAACAAAACGTTTAGTACTGGTAACTTCAGAGGTTGGAATTATGAGAAGGGGCTTTCATTTTCTACTTTACACTCTTTGATTTTATATACGCACACATATACACATATATGTCTTTTATCTAAGTTACTATAAAACATTTAGGATATACTGCTATTGTAAAATGAAGTTGCTATTTTCAAATTAATACTCTGCAATAATTTAAAATTATGAACTACTGTATAGCTTTTTAAACCCAAATACTTAGTGAAAGTGAGGGTGATATAAGTTTCATGTATGTCTCCCCGAAAGTGTAAATCTGGCTCTCAAAAGCCTTAAAATGTTCTAAACCTTTGCTGTAATTTTACTTCTAGGTCTCCGTCTCTAAGAAAAAAAATGTTGACAAAGATTTATGGATGTCCCAGTTATTTATTATCAGGAAAATTTGGAAAGAAAATGTTAAGCAGCACAGGAATGTTTAAAAAGATTCATCTGTATGATATTATGTAGCCCACTGACATGTTTATAAAGAACTTTTGATAACAGAAGAAAACACTGATGTTAAGTGAAAAATGAGAATATCAACATTCTTTTTCTTCTCATCCTCCCTCCCTCCGCCTGTACTTCCTATCTTAAAAGGAATTTTTCCAAGATTAACAGTGGCTGCCAACAAATGTTTATACAATTTTTGCCTTTTTTCTCTGTAGTTTTCAATATTCTCCACCTTTTCTATAACAAGTATTTTTATAACGAAAACAATTACAAAAACACGAAGCCTATTTTCCCCTAATTCAGTCCTCAGAAATAAAAGTGAATATATATCTTGTTTTTCCGTTTAAGGATACGTGAACTTTATCCCAGAAAGGTGAAGACACCTTTACAAAATTACACAAGTAAGCAAGTTCCATGTCCCACGCACATCCCGTGTGCCGGAAAGAAAATACTGCAAATGGAATTTACTAGTAAAGCCATACGCTATATAAAAAAGATACATTCAGAAGTTCTTTCTTCTTAGTAATCAGATCTTACGGTGCCACCCTATCAAAATTAATTCCTTTCTTCTTCAATACTTACCCAAGTAGTTAGCCACAATTAGATATGTAGCTGCAGGAATTTACTTTGCCAACTTCAGAGTTAATGCAAACTAAAGACTCACCTAACTGGATTCTTCTCTTTTTCTGGATGAGAATATTTCGTGATTACAAGAATGTGCAGGGCTGCCTTGATAAAGGACAAGAGCCTATAGCAGAATAAGGCAGAGCAGAGAAATAGAAAAATGCTCTCAGGGACTTTTAAAATCCCAGCTCCCACTGTTTTTAAGGGATAGAGTGGTGGGGGGTGGGGGTGGGGCTGAAAACTAAATACCCAGCAATGAGCAAGTCCTTATGGACGTATACATCGATATGATGGAATTCTATATAGCCATTAAAAAGAATGTGGTGGCTACTTATATGGAGTGATCTTCAAAATGTTATTAAGGAGAATAAAAGGGAGAAGCTCAGAAGTATATATTTCACACATACATATCTGCTCGAATATGTATTATAATTTTCTGGGAGAACAAAACAGACATCATTAGCAGTGGTTCCCTCTGCAAGGAAAGGATGGGGAGTGTTGGAAATAATTTTATGTCTTTTAGGTTTAAAACACACATATACACCCCTCGGCTTTAACAGAGCCAAGGAGTCTTAAAAGCACTTATCTGATGATTTCCTATAATTAAACACTTGCTTCGTCTCTGATTCTAGGAAAAGGCCAAGAGCAACTCTACAAATTGTTTTCCATGATCACATAACTGCTGACAAGAAACCTCTGCGAATTCAAATATACGCAATCACGTTGAAAAACCAAGACTGTTTAATCAGTAGTTTTAATGCACATTGGTTATTGAGCTGCACTTTATCCATTATACAGACATCACTTGAAGTTGTTAAAGGTATCAAAATATATTAAAACGTTCAAGAGGTATGCAAATTAGCAGCACTTAACTAAAACAAATAAATTAGCATATTTCAGTATCAGTTTTATAATAGGGAAGAAAATAGCTTCCATCTCTGACACACACACATACACACACACGCACACACGCACACAAAGAAAATGTTACTGCCCTCGGAAGCATGGTGAAGGCGAGAACATTATATATATAAATACACTAGGGAGAAATGCCAGCAATTAGAATGTTTTCAAAGTGAGGGCGGAATGAACGTTTGTTTACTCAAAATTCCATGATGCTAGTTATTAGACTTAGAAAGTCATAAACCTTAACAAGCCAGGAAAAGCTTGAAAAGCTCATTGGTCTCACAGGCACAAAAACATCCCTTGTTAATGCCGACTTTGTGCCTGACAAGGGACAAGTGTACAGAAATGTATAAGCTACGGTAAGCTTGCTTTGCTCCTCAGAGCAAAGAGGCAATCATTTCTGAGTAATGGGGGATCGAGAGGGTGGGAAACGCTCTTAACAGCAGTGGCTTTCTAAAACCTGCACCCAGCCTGAAAATTCCACAGTTCCCCAGGAAAGGTTTAGAGCCATTGCAAAGAAAGAAGCCTCAAACGGTCCATAACAAAACTAAAGTACTTTGAAAAAAGATTCTGAAGATATAAAAATGAAAACCGATTCCATTAAATAATAACTTAGGCTTATATTAAAAGGTTCAGAGCGATCGATTTTGATGAGCTTATGATGAGGTATTTATTTCATACAGTTTTTACTGTAATGAAAATCTTGAGCCACTCTGCATGTTTGGTAACATAAAAGCACGTGCATTTAAAATTTTAAGCACAAGAAAACCAATGATAGCCCTTAAAAAGTATGGATATGTGTAGTTAAGAAACCAGTATTCTAGTTTGGTACACTGGCACAGGCTGGCTTGATTAACAGGCAGAGAGCTGCAGCCCACATCCCCCAAACACTTAAGCACATACAAACACAACTCAAATAAACACTCAACAGCCCTTTCCAGCTTGGCTCTGAAATGAGAGTGTCCTTCAGAAATAGAGACCTCGGTGCAGGAAGGCAAGTGGCATTTGGAAGAGTGAAAGACAAACTTTGTCTGCTTCTTAATTTTGACGGCACAGGGCCCTCCGCCAAGCCTCTGAACTCAGCGCTGGGAGGGAACTGAAGGCTTGCGGATACCCGGCCCCTCTAAGGCAGCTTTCCCCTGAATATAAGGTAGCAGCAAAATGCCCAGAAGCTAAGAAATCAACGCTGCCTTCCTAAGCAATCCCCCATCTCATAAGGCTTATTGCTAGGGCATTCCGAGACTCGTACTCACAAGGCAGTAATGGCTTTGTTCACATATCACTGCCATGTTGTTTAAATTACATAACTGCCCTCCTCCACGTTCCCACCATCTGTTCCAAAAATCGTGATTCAAAGCTTTCTCTTCATTAAAAAAAAAAAAAGTCAGGTCTCATTTTAAGTCTACAGAACCATTCAAACGGGTCACTACTTCTTAAGGTACACTTCTCAGCCGAAACCTAGAACCTGGTTTAAAAGAACTATCTGGCAGGATGGCCCACAGTTTAAAAGACAGCACATAGACGCTTTTACAAATATAAGAGGTCTCTCTTCCTCCATTTTTTGGTATAAAAGCTTCATAAGTCAGTTTTTTTTGGTAGAGTCACTGAGCGGCTGGTCAACAGGCAAAGTTGTGATTTTGAACCTGCTTTTCTAAGTCACTAAAGCCTTAAGCAGGGACTGGGTTATGTAAACTCGGCCACTGGAGCTGCATATCTAGAGCCACCTGATTCAAGAAAGGCCCGAACTCCAGAAAAATACTTTTTTTAAAATTTCGCTCAAAACCCAGCAGGTGTGCTTTGCAGCCTCGGCAGGTCAGTGAGTCAGCTTATAAGTAACACACGGCAACGTCTTCACCATCGGTCTGGTCAGTTCCTCGTCTCCCTCTGGGCTTCTGTTAGTTTCTGGATTAGATAACGCTTGTCACGACTTTCCTAAAAAATGAAATCGGTTCAAGAACACATTCAATATATTTGGGAACAAATATCATTATTTAGCATGAATTCAACCTAGTAAGTTACCTATGGGGCTGGAGGCTAAGGACCCTGAACACTGGACTATTGTAATGGCCTCCGAACCAGCCAATCATCTTTTAAAGACACACGTAAGACTTCTACTTAATAACCTCCCAGTGGCTTCCTATCACACTCAGAACTTCACCCAAACGTCTGACCAGAGTCCCCGGGCCATGTTGTGACTCTGGCTGCTATTCCAGCATGGCGTCATCTTGCCTCTCCAGCCACACCATCCTTCCCCCCAGTCCCCAGGAGTGCCAGGCTCAGTCCCCCGCTGTACCCTCTGCCTGCTTCTCTCTCCCCCAAGGCCTCCCATAATCGGCTCCTTCTCGTCGTTCAAGTCTCAGCTGTCCAGTGTCACTTCCTCTAAGAGGCCTTCCATGGCCACCCTCTGCAGCAGCAGACAGCCCGCTCGTCTACCTGCCTTTTTCTACTGTCTTTAAAGCCATTGTCGCTATCAGAATTTATCTTCTTTCTTCAACTATTTAATCATCTTGTCTCCCTTCCTCACCACTGTACCCCCTCACAGTATGAGGCACAGAGAGTGTTCGACATATACATTGAAGGAATGAATGAGGCGGTGAATGAATGAAGTTAAAGGAGGCCCGGCCCAAAGGCAGAGTTTTAGGGGGCACGGCAGCATCCCTGGGAAAAGTACCACTTTCTGTTATGCGTCCTGGGTAAATGTCCCCAGCCATGACCCCCTGGACCTGTGTCCTTCCTTACCAGGGACAGCTGCTCTCGGAGCTGATCAACGACCCGCTTGTGTGCTCCGGCCAGGGCGATGAAATAGAACATAATGAGGCTGTAACACAAGGTGGAGAGGTCACGAGGGAGTCCGTGCCATTTGGAGGACACGAGAAAAACAACCCGACACATTTCGCCTGGAACGATTTTACTTTTGCTAGAAAAGGAAAATAAAACCCATACGTCTCACAAGCAGAGGGCATCAGAAACGGCCAGAGGGGCTCTATTTGGTGGTGGCAGCAGAGACTGACTCATGTCTTGCTTTTTTAAGTTAATATGAAAAAATCGCTGATGTTCTCCCCGGCACATGCAACATAACTTAACAAGAAAAGGAGATAGTCCAGAAAGTCAGCTCAGCATGGCATGAACCGGCTATGGATGATCACTGTGGGATCGCTCTGGCTTCAGTTTTCCCATCTGTAAAATGGGGATAATAATATAGCAAAACCCAGTGGTAACAACTCTGAGTGAAAGCAATCGGCAATTGGCTTCTGGTTTCTGTGCAGCCTCAGATCTCGAATGGGGGCGGTCCAAGTTATTAACTTTGGGGAGCGGGGCAAGTGGAGTGGAGGGCAAACCCCCAGGAAAACAGCAGCCATGAAAAGGAGGTGATTTCCTGTCCGACCTCGCCAGACAGGGCTGAGGAAATGAGGGCCACTGGCAACACTGATGAAAACGATACGCTTTTCGAAGTCCCCATGGCCAAGGACAAGAATGCTTCCTAAAGGTGGGTGAGTGGGCACATTCACAGTACAGGGGGAAAAAAAACTAGAATCCGTGAATAATGAGGATTAACTGTAATTAGAATAATGTCTAGCACACAGTAAACCCCCAGAGCACATTTTTTTTTCAGGCGAGGCAACCTTTGGTTGACCTCACAGATTGCAAGGACCTTGCCAGCTTATAATCTCTTACTTTTTATTTTTTATGCCTACAGCACCTGGTCTTCCTAGGTGGTCTCCCATCCAAGTACTAACCAAGCCCGACCCTGCTTAGCTTCCGAGATCAGACGGGATTGGGCTTGTTCAAGCTGGCATGACTGTAGACCTCAGTTGCACATTCTAAAGTCATTCTAAGGTGATTAGAATGACTTGAACACTCAGCGTGAATCACTGTACAGCAAAGACCCCTGTCATCCTCGCATATAACACTTGTCATTTCCTGAGTCTTCAATGGCCAGGTTCTCTGCTGAGCACTTTACAGGTATTGCCATGTTCCCTCCTCCTTACAACCTTAAGAGGCATGGGCTGTTCCCTATCCCCATTTTCCAGGTAAAGAAACTGAAGCCTAGAAAGGATATGTGATGACCTAAGGTTACACAACTTATTAATGGTAGGGCCGGGGGTTCAAGCGCATCCTTCCAACTTCATAATCTTCTCTCCGCCCAGTAATCAGTTCCTTTTTCGAAGAGCAAGTGATTTCATGAATAATCGGTAATATGAGTAAATAGGACTCTATTATTGGGTTTTTATAAGTCAGGCACTGAGCAAAGTGCCTTATAGGTGCGGTCTTACTGAACCTGCTCAATGACCTTCTGAAAGAATAACTATCATTGTGCCCGTTTTCGAGATGGGCAAGTGAGGCTCAGAGAGGCTCAGTAACATATTAAGTACAGCACTTGAGCTCCCATCTCCCCGTGGCCAGGAACCCATGGGCCTCAGTGGGAAATACTCGCAGGGGCCAGGTGGTTCTCGCTCACCAGATGATCATGAAGAAAGGCACTGCGAAGGCTTCCGACGTGATGCCATGGACCACAGACTGCAGTGAGCCAGGGAAGGTGCTCACCGTCTTGGGGACCACCTCCCAGGTAGTGTTGAAGTTGGTGAATGGCCCACAGGCTTTCGAGGAAGGGATGCTGCCAGGACATGGACCAAGTAGCTCAGGTGAGGCATGCGCACAGGCTGAGTGTCCCTCCTCTGCACTCCCCCACAGGTCTTTGTTACAGGGACCTGCAAAGAACCACCTGACCTCATGGCTTTCTAGAATATTCTGGGAAAAAAAATGCTGAAATTTCATCAAGTCTCGAGACTTTATTTCCAGTTTATAGAAAATTCAGGACAGAAGAACAAGTTAAATGACACCATGAGAAAATCAGATGAATCTAGAATGTGGGGATTCGATTCTTCGGTATCTTAACTTAGAGGTGCAGAAATGGGCCTGGGCTCTTTGAAGAATCAAACATTAAAAGATTAAAAAGACATAACAATCAAATGCAATGGGTAAACCTTGAAAGATCCTCATTTTTAAAATAAAGCTATAAATGACTGTTGGGGGACAATGGGAGAAATTTGAAAATGACAAGAATATGATGTACTAATTTCCTCGGGTGTGATAATGTTACTGCAGATGCATAAGGAGAATGTTCTTATTTTTAGGAGCTGCATGCTCAAGGATTTAGGGATGAACATCATGGTGCCTATTACATTGTGGTCATTACTTCAACTCCTTATAGATTTGAAAATTTTCAAAATAAAAAGTAGAGAAAAAATAAATAAAATTACAATGGAAAAATTTGTTAATTTAGCCCTACAAAGAACTGCCTATATTCACATCACAAAGTTCTGTGTATAAGATTTTCCATTGCAACCATGTTTTTACAGATAAAAATAAATTGCTGAAAACAACCTCAATGTTGCTTAAGAAAATGCAGGAACAATTTATTATCCCTTCACACAACGGAATACTAAAGAATCACAGATACACAGGGACATATAGATGTGACTGTCTCTTAGAAAAATTAAGTACGTAGTTAGGAAATGGGATTGGAAAATGAATTTCTACTGTATACTCTTTTATACTTTCTAGATTTTTGTGCCAGGTACATGAACTTATATTTTAAAAAATAAGGGCTGAAAAACTTTTAAAGAATGAGAGGAATGAGAGTCCTATATGTGCTACCATGGAGAAGGGCACAATATAAAAATAAAAATTGAGAAAGCTGCCAAACATTATCCCATATGTATTTTGAAAAAATACATTTTTCATAATGGATTCCTGGAAGTATTCATAAAATGTTTACAGTAGTTACCTCTGCAAAGTAGGACTAAGGTGAGGACAGGTGCAATTTTTTCTCTTATACTCTTCTATACGCACTATTTGAAATTTATACATACATGTTACTATAACAATAAAAAATAAAAGTATAGACTCGAGTTAGTTAAAAAATAAAAAGTGAGAGACAGATTCAAAGTTCAAGGATTTTAATTTAAATATGAAAAAATGAAATTCCATTGAGAGTATAAGTCAGGGATTGGCAAACTATATCCCATGGGCCAAATCTGGCCCACCATCTGTTTTTTATGAATAAAGTTTTATTGGAACACAGTCATACCCATTAGTTTACATACTATGGCTGCTTTCATGATACAGCAGTCGAGTTGAATAGTTGCTATAGACACCCCACGGCCCACAAAGCCTAAATTATTTACTTTCTTGCCCTTTACAGAAAAAGTCTGCCAACCTCTGGTATAAACGGTTATATCCCTGGGGAGTGGCACCACTGGGGTTTGAAACCTCGATTTCCGTTCCTTAGTCCTGAGCATTTCTGCAACTTCCAAATTCCACACTAGACTCTACATTCCTCATGTCATATGTTAAATGTCTTCATACCCCTAGCAACTAGCACGGTGCTTGGCACATAGAAGGTGTTAAATAAATGTTTGCTAAGTGCAAGCCTTCAACCAAAGTGGCAGAAATATGGCGACTTCCTGCTTCTTTCTATGTTTTCCGACACTCCAAGACCATATTTATTTTCATAACCATACGACCATATTTATTTTCATAACCAGAAACAAAGAAATAGTCCAAAAGGAGACTAGAGGGGAGGTCTTAAATGAAGGGAGCTGGGTAGGACAGAACCAAATGGCACTCTCAAAAGCAATGCTGACCCTGCAAGCCCAGGTTCTAGAAGCGAACCGAGACATTCCCAAGTCCAAAGAGAGTTTGCAAAACAAGGGTGGACCTGGCTGAGCCAGGAGTGACCTGCTGACCTCTGCGGGTGGCACGCTGTGAGGAAAGCCCATAAAGAATTGCGAGGGTTATGTCAAGAGGCAGGGAAATGTTCTAGAAAGCCAAGTCGTACTTACTGTGCCATGCTGATTGTCAGAGGTATAACTGCCAAACACAGGCCAATCAGCAACACCAACAGGAAGAAGAAATTAGAATTGGATGCCCTGAACTGCCTCGGGGAAGGTCTGCAGGTGTGAATAAGACTCATCTAAAAGGAGGGAAGGAAAAAGAAAAACGAAATGAAGAGCACGGCTTCCATGAAGACAATAAATGAGCACATTCGCCCATCACGGTGGGGATGTAAATCGGTCTAACCTTTCTTTCTAGACAGTAGTCGACAATATAGATCAAAACGAAACGTGTTTAATCCAGACCTCAACATCTGGAAACTCATCTTGATGAGAAAATAGGAAAAATGGGCCGAAAGACACATACGGAGATGTTCACTGCTACAGTTGGTGGTCACAGGGAATAAACTGGAAGCAACTGAAATAACTAACAACGGGGTCCTTAAGGGTTTGAATGAGTCCCCGAAGTGGACTTCCACAGAGGCCTCGGAATGGACGAGAAGGCGAGCTTTACATCCTATGCGGCGCTGTGGATGAAAAGCGTAGATTCCAGCTCTCTGTCTTTATGACCTTACTGAAGTCTTTTAAAAAGTACTCTTTATAGGGGGTTAAATATGCGTTAATGGATCCATAATAATATACAAATTAAGAGACAGTTGCCTTAAATTTTTTATAAGCATATTTATTTTTCCTAGATACTAAAAATAAATATTTCCACGAAGGGAAAGAAGACTTGAAAGAAGACTTGAAGAATATCAAGGGCGGAGGGGGAAAGAGAGGTATAGTAACAGGCATGAAATTTCTCATTAATATTTTTAAAAGCTACGTTACTGAGAGGAGGCATCAAGCCCTTCTGACTTCAGCAGTAGCCAGGACATGTGAGCAGAGGGCACTGAGTACCAGGGACCCCTGGTGTCCTGTTTTGGGGCAGCCGGCCGGTCAGGCCTGGAGTGAGCGTCAGAACTCAGCCCAGCACCCACGACCCATTCCATTACCCACACGTTGTCTTTACTGTGCTACACACTGGGAAGCCACTGGCCAACCACTATTTTCTAGAATAGTGGGAAAAGGTTCCTTTGAGCTTTCTCACATCCATCTCTGCTTTGGGGACTTCAGCCAAATGAAAGCGTCGGAAAATTCATCAAAGGCCAGAACATCCAGGTAGAAAGTTTGACCCAATTCGAGGCCTTGCTTAACCAGGTTAAATAGCTCTGGAGTGAGATAAACACAGTTTCAGATCCCAGGAGTCGCTTATAAGCTGTGTGACCTTGGATCAGTTACTTAACCTCTCTGAACTTCGGCTTCTTAAGTGTTCAGTGGAGTAGGGGTACATGGTATTATCATCATCTGTATTATTACTGTCATTATTATTAATACTATTATTCTTTAATATTTCCATTTCTGAATCCTCAGGGCTTGGCATAATAGGTAATCACAAAACTTTGGGCTTGTTCACAGAGGGTACCTCTGGAAGAAGGGATAGAAGTTACTGTACACATATCTGTATTGCTTAAACATTTAACATTGAGCATATATTGCCTTTATCATAAAGAAAAAAGAAGTTCTATTAATAAGCCTAGATAGGTTAGCGATCTACAGGACCACTTCACCCATTAAGTACTCAGTTCGGGCACAAGGCATAGGGCCTGTGAGCTGTCCAAGGACCTACGCAAATAACTGAGACCTGAAAATAAATGCACTGGCCCCAAAATGCAAACAGAAAATTACAAAACTTCAATTAATAAATGCTTCATGAAACATCATCAAAATGTACCGCCGTTAACTGATCAACCGCAACTCAGCTCTCACAGAGTTACCTATAAACATGAGAGTTAAATCACGTGAGCAAAATGATCCTTAACAAAACTCTCGAAATTACGAAAAGGTCAAAATCCAGTCGAAGTCTTTTTTCCAGAATAAAAACACGTGTCCAATAAGGGATGTCGTTTCGATACATCTGACAGGATGTGGTGGAAACTTCAAACATATATAGCCCTTGCAAGGTCAAAGATGGTGCAGGGTGTCAGCCCCCCATGCATACCTCTCCTTACCTCTTTCACATAGAAGATGATAATGAACTTCAAGGTTGCAATGGCAGGGAGAAGGGGGGAGAAAAAGGCTCCGATCCAGCAAATGGTTTGCCCGTAAACGATCCCCAGAACATTATCAGGAGCTGCCCCCAGCACTGCATCAGCTTCCAAGAGGAACAATACGTCACCAGGAGCCTGGAAAAGAGATGGGACATTTCTTCACTTGAACTATCAGTGTTAGCCAAGGCCACAGAACCACGTCCACAAGGCGGGGCAGATTCCACACAGACCTCTCGTGAAAACTGGTTACTCACAAGTCTAGAAGATGCAAACTATAGTGAATTCTGAGATCATTAAGGCCAGGGTCCAAGTCTCAGTTCTATAACTTGCCAGCCAAAGAAATTAAGACGAGGCTCATTTTTCTCATCTGGAATGTAGGAAGAACTGTAACACGACCTACTTCACGGGCTTGTGGTGACAAAAAATGACATGGGCAGTCTCTGTGCTCTGGCTCGCCACTCAGCCCTCAAAATCATGTGTATCCACAGAGAAAATGGCTTACAAGGACCCTACCACATAACACGCTGGAATCCTAGAAGCTTCTTACAGACATCCTAGGCCTGAGATAAATCCACACCATTGTTCACTGTGGCTTTGCCCCATATTAGCAAAAATATTTTGTCAATCCAGCCTCTGCTGATGGGCACATAAAAACAATACGGGCTGGATTGACAAACTTTAAGCCATGGATACTGTGGAATATTATATGGTCCTTAAAATGAATGAGGAAAATCCACGTGTCCTGACATGGAAAATTCATATTTTGTTTCTACAGGGGAGAAAAAGCAAACTGTGGACCAATGTGGATGTACCATGATCCCATCTTGGTGAGGGCAGAAAATGAACACTTCTAACAAGACTGCGTGTTTACTTACATATGTATCTATGCATATGTGTGTGTGTTTTTTTTTTTTAAAGGTCTGCTGGGTCTTCCCCAAAGAGTTTACAACAGCCACCTCTGAGCAGTGGGGTGGGACCGGGGAGTTAGGGGTATGATAACAAACGAGAACTCTCACTATTCTCCAGACTTCTGTCTTTATTTAAATTTTCAATATTTTAAAATTTTCAATAAGCACATATTCAGGTCATATTTGCGTCATTTTTAAAAAGAACAGTTTCTATTTTAATGTTTATTTTTAAGGGCTTACTGGACTTCTGACACGCCTGGAGAATTTGTACATCTGAATAAAAACGCGATTAAGTGGACAGTATTTCACTTAAGGCTCGAGGAGATTCTGAGAATAATTTAGAAAACGACAGCGTAGTAACGATAACTGTAGCGGTGACGGTGAATGTTTTGCTGAATTCCGAGGCCTGAACTGTTCTTAGTATTTTTATCTGCATCTTTTCATTTAATCTTCAAACGGTGCTATCAGGTGGGTACCGCTACTCTCCCCATTTCATAGGTGGGAAAAGAGGCACAGTGCTTAAATCATTTGCCCAAGGTCACGTCACTAGCAGGTGGCAGTGCTGGGGCTTGAACCCACGGCAGGAAATACAGCATCCACTGTGGCCTGGAGGGGCTCCACAGACAGGGCCCAGGGCTGTGCTAATGGCAGGAAACCATCCCTACCAAAACCACATGGAAAACGCCTCTTCACCCCACCTTCAATGGGGCACCACTGGGGTCGATGGCCCGGAGCTGTCTGAAAGTCACCGGGTGGTATCAGTAGTTTCCAGGGACTATGGAATCATCTAGTACTTTATGGACAGCAGCTGCGAGCAGCAGTGGGGGCAGGAGCAGGGGTGGGGGGAGATTGAGAGTGAGGGAGCCCTCATAACTTACTTTCTAGGAAAATCCACAAAAAGCGTCACAGCCAAGATGATGATGAGATCGAAGATCATCAGCTTGTACATTTCCTGCCCAACCTGGGTCTCCCAGCACTGCAAAGACGGGAAGAGACAATGAGACCTGACTCCGGGCAGACAAAGCCAGGTTCTCAGACTCCTCCCAACGTTCTTTCGGCCCCCAGATCCCACCGTCTCTGGACTTGACCCAGTCGGCAGGACACTCCCATCCCCACAGTCTCACCGGGTAGAGTTTCTGGTTGTAGCCACAGAGCTCACAGGAGTAGTTATCACAGGATGTAATCTTGGAGCCCAGGGTGAACACCAGCACACAGATGGTGGCCAGCCGCATGAAGACACACCTGCAGGAAGAGAGGGAGGAGGAGGGGAAGAGGAGGCCCTGGCACAGGCCGGGCCCTGGGAACTGGGGCCAGGCAGCAGAGATGATGCCTTTCTTAAAAGCAAACCCACAAGGTTCCTGTCTGGGATGATGAGCAAGTTTTGGAAACAGACAGGGGTGATGGTGTCTCGACGTGAGGAATGTACTTAATGTCACTGAGTTGTACACTTAAAAATGGTAAATTTTATGCTAATAGATCGCCACGGGGGAGAAAAAGATGAAAAAGCTGGGAATTCCTGAATCTATGATGATATACACTAAAGAACACGACACATCTCTGAAAAAGAACAAACTGAATCACATACGTATCAACTTTGAGAGCTGTCTGACATACTGAGAAGTGTAAAAAGTACACTGCAGAGTTCTGCACGGATACGATCCTATTTTTAAAAGAAAACATGTAAGCGTTGATGCGAACGAGAGGCACCATCCAGATGAGGGCTGCCTGGGGCGGAAGGAACCAAGAGAGGAGGGCTACGTTTTTCTTAAAGATGCTTCTCTCTTCTTTGGTTTGCAATAAAGAATAAAACAGAAACATTAAAAAAGGGGGCGGAAGGGGAAAAGCAAGTGCACACCATCTATCTGCTCACGCTCCTCATTCCTCAGCATCCTCCTGGTACCGCCTCCTGAGAACCCAGCACCACCAAAGCGGCTTCCATAACCACAGGCAGAAGCAGAATCTCATAAAAAGTCTGAATCTACACAGTGGTTTGCCGTGACTACGGACACAGAAAACAAAGCTCGCCGTGAAGAGACAGGGAACTCAATCCAGACTCGCAGATATTCTACAGGATAAGAGCCCCTTTGCTCCCACAATGGACAACACAGCGGGAAGGGAGAATCCTTAAAAGAATAAAAGGGGCCTTAAGAGACACAAGCACCAAACACAGCTCATGGCCTCTGCTGGCCTCCTGGTTTGAAGAAACCGATCGTACAAACCCATCTGCAATTCCATCAGGGAACTGACTTAATTTTTTTAGGAGTCATGACGATTATGTTAAAAAATAAAGTCCTTGTCACTTACGGATGCGCTAAAGTGTTTACAGCTGAAACGACATGTCGCCTGAGATCTGCTTAAAACAATCCAGCAAAACTGGGGGGAGAGCAGATGGAACGAGATGAGCAAAATGTGGCTAAGGGCGGAAACTAAGGGATGGCACACACGAGGTTCGTGACATCATTCGTTCTGTTTGAAACTTTCTAAAATAAAGAGTTTTTTTTTGTTTTTGTTTTTTTTTAAAAAAAACAGGCAAATGCAATCCAAGGCATTTGAGAAACAGAAAGAAAATGCTCCAGTTTCACAGGGTCGCCAACTGGTCCCCTTCAACTCATCTGTGTTTACTCCCTACACCCTACTCTATAGCTGTCATTTTAAAAATTAAACTGAATATTTATTTAAAATGAGAAGTGATATTACAACAGTTTACTAAAAGTCAACTGCAGCATAGACTGTGGGTGACCTGGCCACATTTTCTCCACCCAGGGCCCATGCAGGGAAGCAGTGGAGTGGCACTGTGGGCGAGTCAGCACCTGGGAGCCAGCCGCCCTTAGGTGGTAGAGGCTGAATATCTGGTTTGGTGGGAAAACGCTAAGATACTTCCCACACAGACACCCAGAGTTACCCAGTTAGGACTGAGCCCCCGTTGCCAACAGCAGCAACTTGCCCAATAACGCAACCTTCTCTCTCTTACTACCTCACTCCCCTGGTCATTTCTAAGGTCTTCGGAGCAACACCTCCTCCGAGGGCCCCGCCCTACACCCTCAGCTGTTAATGTACTGATACGTGAACCGAAAATATAATACTAATGAGCAGACTCTTAAATCAAAGAAATTTCACTGCACATGCAAACTGTCATTCATTCCTGGGGGCTGTCTGAACGTTGAAGGCGATTCTTGG